GGCAATCGCACAAAGTAATCAAAGGACCAGGATCTGATTGTGAGATCAGAGCTACAAGAGCCGTAATTTGCGTCTGCCGAATTGCGAGCTGAAAGACGACCCGTTGCCTTTGCCCACATGCAGAAGTGAAATTTCATGTTACTAATTGAATAGCTTTCTTCAAAATATACCGTTCGAAGGAAAGGAATGCTGCTCGTAAATGTTTAAAATTGGAGCTTATAGCATCGATTTATGCAAATATATGCTGCTTCACGAAACTGGTTGATTGCAGAAGTGAAATTCCATGTTACTAATTGAATAGGTTTCTTCAAAATCTACCGTTCGAAGGAGCACTGTTAGTAAATGTTTAAAATTGGAGCTTATAACATCGATTTATGCAAATATATGCTGCAGCACGAAACTGATTGATTTCCCTCATTTGGAAACGTACTGAGGGCGATGAGGTCATGTTGGAACGTTAATTAATTTCTCCAGAACGTAGCCGCTGTCAGACGAGCCAAGGTCGTGGCGTAATGAACTCATCAAACCATCTTTTCTTCCGGAGACGGACTCAGAACGAACAGAGTAATGTAGATATTGCATCTCATAATGATATCATTCTTTCAAACAAAGTGTTTTGCACATGTTTTTCGAGATCGTAGATTTAATTCTTGTCGGTTAATAATTCTGAAACGGGGTGGCAGGAGAGGGTATTGGGCACAAACCATCTCTTTTCGGAGACGGACTCAGAACGAACAGAGTAATGTCTATATTGTATCTCATAATAATGTCATTCTTTCAAATAGTAGTATTTTGCACCTGTTTTTCGAGATCGTAAATTTAATTCTTGTTGGTTAAATATTCTGATACGGGGTGGCAGGAGAGGGTACTGGGCACGAACCCAGGGGCCGCAATATTCCTCCACTTTGATGAAACCGCGCATTCTTTTTGATTAAAGTCGGCTATTGATCTGCCCGAAAAATGACGCCCAGCGTTCATCATGTTAAGGCTGCGGAAGGGTTACGGTCGGGGCTGGGTATGTTAGCCCGTGTCGGTGGATTCATCTCGCCAGCCACCGTAGCTAATCCTCTTCAAACAAAAGTGTGAATGAAATGTTGATACAATTCTTACATACCTGAAGTGTGTGAGTACTCGAGTGTACGTAGTAGACCTCTCGGCAGACGCTCGGTAGATGCTTGTCGGTGTCTCCAGTGGTTGGTGTACCACTCGACGCCAAACGTACAGTCGGTCTACCGTCACAAGCAGATATGGACTGCTCCATTATATTTCAGAGCCGGGGCCAGAATAATGCCAGGATTATGGGACAGAATATTCTGATACATCAATAAAGCAGTGCGGCTCTTTTCCATCCACGGTGAATAGAGTTCGGATATCAAATATTTGCAGAATCGCTTGTCGTTTTGAAAGGGAGAAACTGTCAGTGTGGGTATACAAGGGCCCCATCCTGTATAATTTAGTCGCGCCGCGGCGTTTTATTAATAATTCATTAGCCAATTCATCTGAGCGCACAGCCTGTTCCTGCATGTGGGCGTGCGTTATTGGGAAGCGGTGCCGGTGACGTCAAAGAGAAGACGAGTTTAGCCCCTGGTGGAGGGGCCATCAGCGAGCGTACATTTTACTCTTACGTGTGCGGTGAGAACTCGGGAGATAACGGTTGGCTGTGTTTCTCCAGGCAACGGGGTTTGGCGGTGATCTGTCAGCAAGCGTGGTGTACTGTATGTCTCTAGATTGCGTACCGTTAGCGGAACTGTATCACAACAGGAGCGCTAGCTAGTATCTCTGAGCGCCGTTGTTGTGCTAGGGAAGCCGGCGTGCTGGTACGTTTCTTCCGGTCGAATCGTCAGAATTTCCCTCCTCACTACCTCCCCGTGGTGCTGAAAGCGTGATGGTTAGTTCGGCGGCGTGAAACCGGCGAGTCTTGTTGTGCAGTTTGTATTCAGCAACAACGCCAGGACTCCGTGTGGATCGATCGCGAGCGGCGGGAGCTAGCGAGCTTCAGCGGTAATGGCCACAGTGGTGAGCAGAACGGTGCCCGGCGCCCCTCAGAAAATGTCGGGCTCGGCCACCGCGCAAGGTAACGTTTCGCCTTCCCTAGCTAGATCCGTGCTAGCTTTTTGGCGCCGTACGATCTTCTTAATGTTACGTTTTCCCCCTACACGTGTGTGTGTGCCTCCACGGCGCCGCAGGATGGATTCGCACACGCACGTTGGCGGTCTGTACCGGTTTGTTTGTGATGGAAAAAAAAAACTTGCGCCATCGTGCCCCACAGGCCACACGTACCCTGTTAGTTTACCCATTACGGTATTTGCTCATTCCCTTTGTCTTCTACAACCTTACGTCAAACGTATTATTGATCTCTTTCCCCCATCAACGTTAAGATATTTTACAGCCTATAGATTGTGACGCTTAATGTAGATTGAGTGAATAGTGTTTGTGTTATAAGCGCAGATATTTGGTTTGCGTCCTCTTGACCTATGGCGCCTCCTCTCTCTAGGCTAGCGTGCGTGCGTGCGTAAAGCCCAATAAAATGTTCTATTGTCCACTGCATACTTAAATTCCAACATCGCCTATTGGGCATAGGGATTAGGCCTAGAACTGTATACTGTATACCACGTTCTCTGTCCGTAGAGCTTTGTAAAATTTCAGTGCAACCAACGTTGTACTTTCCTCTCTTCCAGAAAAAAGACAGCAATACAGTGTATGTACATATAATACTAATAGTCATTGTATATTGAACTGAACTACTTGTGAGATTAGGCCTAGAACTGTATACCACGTTCTCTGTCCGTAGAGCTTTGTAAAATTTCAGTGCAACCAACGTTTTACCTTCCTTTCTTCCAGAAAAAAGACAACAATTTACAGTGTAGTACATAATACTACCACCTAATGGCCATTTGTATACTGAACTGGACTTATTATGTGTCCTAAGAATAGTAGTACCTACTTGAGAATTTTTTTAAATCCAATTTTAACGTCATTTCCCCTCGAAACGGGGGTTAGATGTGCTTGCATCGAATGCAAGTCTTTTTTTTGGAGCAAGATTTTTATGGCAGGATGCCCTTCCTAAGCCAACCCAAACCCTAGTAGGGCCCAGGATCCCTCTAACTGAGAATTGTATTCTTCTTCTTCTTCTTATCCGAGTTTTACGTCTATTGATTCCCCGATTCGGGGGTATAGACGTGCTTGCACAGGTGCATGTTTGGGCTTGTCATTTTGCCCCTCAGCATGCTGAGGTGCACAACACCAAGCCTGTGCAAGACTTTTTTTTTTAAGCAAGGTTTTTACTGACTGGATGCTCTTCCTAACGTCAAACTCTAAAGTTTTTGACAGCTTTCAGAGACTGGCTGTATGAGGAAATGTGTGTTAAGTGCCTTTCCCAAGGGCACAACATCGGGGTATGTAGTAGGTGGATTTGAACCCAGGGCTCCTGGGTCCCGGGCCGAAAGCCCTACCACTATACCACACGACGCCATGTATGCTGCTGGAAAAGCTGAGACGCGAGCTAGTTTGCTCCAAATTGGAGACCAATTCCTGCTCCGGTGTTATATAACATCACCAATACAGGAGCTTCCTTCCAGGCCGTACTTGGCAATAAAATGACATTAGGAAGTCCCTTGTTACAGGAATAACGATCGCACCACCCACACATTGACGTAGGGGAGGTATAAAACGTAAAACTAGAGCCTGTAGGAGCCAAATGTGAGAGTAACAGAGAATACACAGCTGGTGGTAGTTTGTCATTAATTTCTTAATTTATCACGTTAGTACCTTTAAAATGATTACTAGTATGATATTACCAAGTGCATTGCTTAGTGTAAGCTTCAAAAATCGTTTAGCGTTTGTTTGATATACGTGTACCTTTGTATCTTGAATGTTGAACAGTTCTAGTGGCTCGATAGATGAACATAGTTGTTTATGAAGGTAAGAAACACATCGTTGATAAAACGTGAAGAATCGTGAAGCCATAGCATTGGTGACTCAGGATGTTTAGAAAGAATTGTTCATTACTCAACATTTTTTAAAAAGGAGCAAAGGCTCTGTAACGTTATATTGTACCGATTGAAGAAAAAACTATGACCTTTGTAACGTTCCTTGGCTGATTTCTTAATACATGTATTGGTTCTCCGGTGTTTTGCTGTTATTGGATGAAGTTTGTTTAGGATACTACTGCACCTGTCTGGCATTTGTAAATAGTGTAGCTAAGGAACCGACTGGCAACCAAGCTTCAGTACAGGGATGGGTTTTGGTTTCAGACAGTACCGTGGCATTGTTTTCCTTGTGGTTATGGCAGTTGACTCAGAATGATACAGAATCTTACGGTTCTAGGTTCGAATCCCAAGCAGGTGCCGATGTTGTGCCGTTGGGAAAGGCAATTTAGTAACATGAATTATTTTATGGCAGTTGATTTAATTTGCCAGTCATGCAAAACAAAATCTCCTCATGACCCAGATGGTACCAGTATAAAACATACCCACGTTGTTTACACATGGGAATGAAACAAACACTGGAATGACCCCAACAACGGATACACTAATAGTGTATAGGTTGATACAAGTATATTACAGACCTAGCTTATCAATATTTGTGGGAATTTTCTGGAAGGTAGTCAAGCTGGCACACTAACTACCTCCTGAACATATAACCATTACATATATTTTTAACATTTAAGAATGTGATTGTATACCTAATGTTGATGTTTTTCTATGGGAAGTGCACATGATTGAGAAGTCAATACAGGGTATGTATGCTGCAAATACTGACATTTCATTTTACTGGCCTTTTGAGTGTTTGAATCACTCACACACCTTTTTTTATCAACAGGCTGGAAATAAAGTGAATTTGTATCTTCTCCCTAATAAAGAGTGTTACATGTATGTTGACAGATATTGCTTTTCATGTTTTTCTTTGCCTTGTGTTACACATTATGAATCAGCTGTAGATTGTAAAATGTTGGAACACCATGGAATAACTGTAATGTGGTATTTCTTACTGTTTTTCAGGAATTGACACAAGAATGAAGTTCAGCATAGAGCCCATGCCAGGCAAGAAAGGCTTCAGACAGGTGAGAAAAAAGCTTTATCATTTAATTATTTACTACTTTCACTTTATAGAATTTTGTACAGTCACACATAATTTTAACTTAACCTAGAAGGGCATGTTTTTGTTAGCGTGTGTTTGGATGGGTGGATGGATGTTTGGATGTGGTTTAGCACGATAACAAGCTATGGATGGATTGGGATTGTCATGACATATGGTAGGTATTGACCTATTGAAGAAATAATTAGATTTTCTACCCCTGGTGGCTTTCCTTAGTACTGCAGTGAAACTTCCAGTTTTGATATCTTGTGTTCTGGACATGCTAGTTAAGGCTTAATATGCTCTACATGTATGTAAGCTCTATCTGCATGTAAGAACGTCTTTTACCTAGATTGAGACAGTGATCAGTTGAATTCAAAATATGTGGAGGGAAGCAATTTAGTCTTTAGATTGCATTTCAATTCTCCAGACATGGCAAATTATACTTGCATTATGAAATTGGGTTAGGCAATTTTTGTTTCATATACATGTACTACATCATTTCATTTAATACATAGCAACATACACTATTATATATAATAGCAAACCAGGAGCATACAGAGACAAATGTGTGCTATTTCCAACTGTACACGGTTTAAAATCAATAATCATACATCAGTGCCTCTACCTGCCACATTCTATGCCGAAGGGATTGCGGTTTGGTAAACCAAGACATGTAAGTCACAGCTACAGCATGTAAGCTCGCTGCCATGCATATCCGTCCATTTGGAAAAGCCTTGAGCTTCAGTAATGCTACATCGTGCATCCCGCGCTGGGCTTACTTCCACCAGATAGGAGGCAGAAGCTGGCTCCAGGGTGTAAGGGTGACATATCAAGTGGAAATGTTCCATTTCGGTACCGTGACGTCATCTTTCCCGCTCTGACTATCAGCAAACCAATCTCCGTTTATGGAAAGCAGACATTTGCGCAATGTAGTATGAAAAGTATGATGTATATAGTAGCTAGCTCATATTCAAGAAATTACTTTGGCCATATATATAAGTATTATGTATACATAGCATTATGATAGTATTTCGGAATCCATATATTTGTTAACGAAGCCAAGCAGAGAATATATTTTGGAATGCATCCCTCTCTGAAACTGAACAAGGCAGAATCAGATCCAATATTTGTGACACAGATGCTCATTAGGGGAAGGTGAATGCTGCTCTTTGATCAGGATTCCGGGCTGCAGACATGAGGACTGTCTGACCCAAAAAAGCAGGAAAGCGTCTCGAGAACATTAGATGGCTTTCCTGCCTATAAATCAGTTCCTGAGCATTGATCAAGTGAGGAGTGCCTTCGTGCAGGATGTTGTGTGGAGAATTCTTATGAGGAGTTCAATGACATTTTGAGTCAGGGCTCGAAATTCATTTTTGGGAATAGGTCCACTGGTGCACACAACCTAAAAAATTAGGTGCGCAAATTTTTTGGGTGCACCATATGAAACAAAACCTAATTACTGATCTTACTGCTCCTGTTCTAAGCTTGAATCTGGAATGGGAGCTAACTTCAAAATCTTACTACAAGAAATTTAAAGATTTTATTATTTTTCTGACCCTTTGATGCCAAGAATATCCTGTATACTATTATACATTTAATATGTAAAAAATACCTACAAAAATATTTGGGTGCACAAGTGCACGCACAGAAAAAAACTGGGTGCACAGCTGCAAATTTGGGTGCACTATGGTGCACATGCACCCAGTATTTCGAGCCCTGTGCCGGATGTGCGAGGAGAATTCATATGAGGAGTTCAGTGACATGTTGAGTACTGTGGACTGTCTGATGGTGAACACCAGAGGGACTCTCCCTCCATCTGTGTGGAAAATGTTGGAAAACTTCAGTAGAATTTTGATAACGTCTGCGCCAGAGAGAAATATGAATCTTTCAGTTTGCCGTTTTTGTGGTGACACATCCACCACATGCCATCAGTACTCATGTCAGCAATATATAAAGGTCCTGTCACTTCTACTGTGTTGCTAAATTTGTTTTGACTGTAAAGTGCTAACTCAAAGATACCACAAAAGAGCACAAAAGCTTTGTGATGTCATTTCACTCGCATTATTTTTACCTCCTAATTCTCAGTTTACCTGTCAAGGGCTCATGTGGAAATCGGCCCTATTCTGCCTAATAACTACCCATATGTATCCAGGATTGTCAAATAAATGAATGAATTCTAACTTTATCTTTGCTGTGCTGCAAAATTGAGCTGCTGCAAACTTAAAGGAAACCTACAGTAACCCAGATGCCTAACCAGTCTATCTAACATCAATAAACCTTTCAACCAAACCTTTCAACCTATCAGTAAAAGAGACATTTCATTTTACACATGTGAAAGCGCCCGAAGCGTATGTACTGCTTCGCAGCACACAAAGTGCAAAAGGCAACCAACCATCTCTGGAAATAAAAGTCTTGTAGATTAGCAGACATGGTAACTAATGACATCGCTAGTAAGACTCCAGGTCTAAGTACATGTACTCTTCAAACATGTCCTTTGCTATTTGTCAAGCAGCTGCCAAACGAACGTTCTTGTAGGATCTCCAGAACAAAGTGGTTCATTGATTGCTGCCAGATTGTAAGAGGAGTCCGGCGTGTTGCATTAAGTTACTCTCGATTGATAAGACTTCATTTCCGCCACAGGCCCTAATATAATCAAAAGTTTACGCACTTGGGCCAAAGGAAATTGAGTCAAGAAGTAGAGAGACCTTTTGAAGGATTCTTGTAGTGCGTGATGAAGGTTAGACATCCAGGTAATACAATACACCAAAAGGAGTTGCTCAAGCTACTGGATTTTCCAAAATCATATCCAGTTGCTTGAGTAACTGCTTTTTGGCGATTCATGTAATGATTTCTTTTTTAAAAAATCTGGATAATTTTATGAAATTGCTCTTATGGCTGAGACATATCAAATACTAGACAAATTATTTCAATCCAACCTATCATTCTTCATGTTACTTTATGGAAAAGAAAGAAATATCTCCAAGTACATAAACTGGTGAAAAATATGTCCTGTACTTTTCCCCAGTGTTATGATAGCCATATGTTTGGCAGCTATCTTCAGTACTGCAGTACAAGCCAGAGCGACAGCAAAGCCACACGACCCTCCATTTTTAGAAAGCAATCTATTTCACAAGCCATTTTCCTGTCACAGAGTCCCCATAACTCACGGATGGCCACACATTTTGATACTGGCTCTTTAGAGGAAAGATTAGCTAGACCCACCGTGGAAAGGGATCCGTTGGCTCAATGTTTGAAAACGGGGCCATTCATCATCACACAACAGAGTGTGAATAGTAATGTTCTGACCCGCTCACATCTCCGTAGGAGGCTTCATTTGTCTCCAAGATGCTCATCCGAGTTTACATGACAGAATGGGGTTAATAAAGAGGAGGGACGTTACATGCATTATGCATTTTCTGTGGCACAGGGCTCGAAATACTTTTTCGGCATTATATTATTGGTTTATTTGTATCAACATATTAACAACAACACATCTCGCAGCCTTGACATACAGGGCTGAATTCTGATGTTTGTTTACAATATAAATCATTAATTGATAGTAGGGAAATACCAATGTAATCATGTCAGATACTCTACCTAAACAGGTGCAAGTAACATTGAAAATTACCTGCACCAGACACATTTTACCTGCACCACTCAGAATTTAAGAAGTGTGGCTCCTACTAAAAACTGTTAACATTATTTTTTTAGACTTACACTTCACAGATGGTAACAGTCAATGCAGCAAATAAAAATCCACATACATCTACATAACCCAGCACACAGACCAGTGCAGGTTAGGACATAAGAAATATATACCTGCACAGCACCAATTTTACCTGCACTAACCTATATATACCCAGTACATGAACCAGTGCAGGTTAGGACATCAGAAATACCTGCACATCCCCAATTTTACCTGCACTAAGGTGCATGTGCAGCCAGTATTTCCAGTCCTGTACGTGGTGAGATTGTTGAGGATCCCAAATGCAAGGGCAGTGCTTATGAACGTTTGTGATGCCCTTTCATCGCATCGCACTGTGTGGGATTACTACAAACAGAAACGTATCAGGATCCGAGTAGGTTCTGAGGTTCGGGAAATACCTGAGGTGTTACGGGATCTTCCTCATCACTTTGGGGATGGATGGAGGCTGCGTTTGCACAAACCCCTGCAGACCTAGCATGCTGTTTCCATACATAATATGAGACCATTGGTAGAAAATATCTGGGATCTACTAAAAGTAGTGTTTTTCACCCAGCTTCGATTTCTAACTATATTGTGATTCATTTTAACACAATTAAAGTGATTAAAGGTTTTTATATAAACACATGTTTCGCTTGGAAGAAGTGACAATGGAATATGTACAGAATCAACAAAAAATTCACAAAAATGAATGAAAAAAGATCTCCAGAACAAGTCTACATACTTAATGGAGGTATGAAATCTTTTATTTCCTGTTTTTCAGTGGTTTGATGCAATGAAGGCTGTCGTCCGTCTGCCGCACGGTCTTCCCAGCGAGTGGCGGAAAAGGGTGAGTCTGGAAGATTGCGAAAACATCATTACGCCGGAAAACCATTCCCACATAGCGTGTATACGGGATGTGTCTTATCGCCAACATACAGACGTTAATATACAGCATTTTCCATAATGATACAGGCCTGATGGACTCTGAAAGACCCCCTAAAGGCTGAACCAAAATGATGCATCGAAATGATTCTGCAAAATGACATCGCGTCGCAATCATTCACGGTGCCTGACAGGTGTAATATAAGGCTTCCAGTAGTGTAAGTTGCTTATCACACCAGTACAGATGATGTGCACGGTGTGTTCCGTTTCTACCAGAAACCATGGAAGCGACCATTATCTATCCAGGGTGCCGTCTCAAAATGCCAGCAGCCTCTGGGATGTACCACTTTAAAGTCGGGGGAGGACAGCATCACACAAAAAACTTAGTTCCTGCCTCCTTAATGTTGTCATTTAGTCAGATTTTTGGACAGGAAAAAATTTTCCTTAGCTGATTTTGTTAAGAATTGAGCTGAAAATCTTATCATGACATACTGATATTCATTCCAAAAAATGTTATTAACTTACATGTATAAATATGTACCATGTTACCTTGTATTCCACATAATATCATGTTGGGAGTAGGATAACTATGATTGTACATTGATATAAATAGACTATTTTGTGCCACTGTTGTACAGTCATACAAAACATTGCTTGCAAACCATCATTTCCAAAGATTTCAGCTCAAATGCATTCCAGCCGTTCAAGCCTACAATTGTCACGTAACTGCCAATGCACGGAAAAATATGTCCAATCCCCAGCACACAGTGGAAAACATGCGACTACAACTCAAAGCAATCTTACATTGTTGAACAGTCATGCAAAATACTGTTTGTAAACCATCATTTCCAAAAAGATTTCAGCTCAAATGCATTCTAGCCGTTCAAGCCTACAATTGCCACGTAGCTGCCAATGCACGGAAAACTATGTCCAATCCCCAGCACACAGTGGAAACACGCGACTACAACTCAAAGCAATCTTACATTGTTGAACAGTCATGCAAAATACTGTTTGTAAATCATCATTTCCAAAGATTTCTGCTCAAATGCATTCTAGCTGTTCAAGCCTACAATTGCCACGTAACTGCCAATGCACAGAAAACTATGTCCAATCCCTGGCACACAGTGGAAACACGCAACTACAACTCAAAGCAATCTTACATTGTTGAACAGTCATGCAATATACTGCTTGCAAATCATCATTTCCAAAGATTTCAGCTCAAATGCATTCCAGCCGTTCAAGCCCACAATTGTCACGTACTGTAATTCCTGATTTTTTCACGGTACTGTTATGTTCACTGCTTTCACTGTCACTTCTGTACCTCGAACTTATCATTACTGTTAACAAATAATTCCTGGACTTTCTTTTTCCTGCACCTGTCACCACCGTGAATATATAGTTCCGTGAACACGGCCATTTTTCTCAGACCCTGAACTTTTGCTACCGTGAACATAAAGTGAATTACAGTATACCTACTACCAATGCACGGAAAACTATGTCCAATCCCCAGCATACAGTGGAAACACGCGACTACAACTCAAAGCAATCTTCCTCCGCTACCTTCTGTCTATAGACAGTAATCCCCAGGTAATAGCCTTCATTTCCCATGCAGATCAGTCTGGAATGGGGACCGTTATCTGGGGATGAGCTGTGCCTTTTCATCAGGCAGGAACTGGCACAGCTAATTGAAAGCCATTCTTTACCAGGGCTCAAAATACTGTGTGGCGCACCCAAATTTGGAGCTGTGCACCCAATTTTTTTGTGGGTGAACCAGTGCACCCAAAATTTTTTCATAGGTTTATGTATGTAAAGATGTTAAATGTACAGTGGTATACAGCATATTCATAACACCTTAGTGTAAAAAAGATAACATTATAAAACATAATTAGTTATTGCTGATATTCTAATTATTTTTTATCTTATATGGTGCACTCAAAAAAATCTTTTGTGCACTCAATTTTTTAGTTTGGGTGCACCAGTGCACCTATTTCCAAAAATGAATTTCGAGCCCTGCTTACAAACGAGGGTTACAGTCAGAGAGGGGGTGCAGGGGTGATTTAGTGCAGTCGTGCGGATAATAGCGGTAAAGTTTCCTGTAGGGTTGAAGTCACCCTGCCTGTCCAGTGATGTCACATGAGACATCTGGAGGATGGCTGGTGCATTTGAAGCAGCGCTGTTCGACAAATCCCAGCGTAGCTGGTCAATCTGACATGGAAAGGTCGTTCAGCACCAAGGACAGGTTGTAACAACACTGAACAGGAGTGTAACTGTCAACATGTGTAAATGTCACCAATTCAACGGTAATACAGCACTTTCTTAATGTCACCAATACAAATTGTAAGGCCAAAGACTCTCTAGTGTGTATGCTGTCTTCCACTACAATGTTCTTTACCTCATTTTTCTCTTCATTCCAACCATCAACAATTAAGTATTATCATGGCATTACTATTTTGTGTCGCAGGCCTAGGAGTACAAAAGAAATACTGATGAAAGTGTCTTTTACAGTCAAATTAAATCACAAAGTAGGTGCTTGAATTCAGAATCACCAAATTTGGGCACAACCACATCTTTCAGCACCAAGGACAGGGTGCTTGTTCTAGAGTTACAGGTGCTTTAAAACCTGTTTCATGTGTGTAATTTTAGGAAAAACAAGCCTCGGAGTTGCTGTGAAAAGATCTGTGTTTTTCCCAGGTGTGGCTGTGTCTATTTGCCCAGTCCGCATCAAAAAAATTTAATGTGAATATAAATAATGAAAAAAATAATAAGATATGCACATGTAGCTATATTTCTACTTTTTGTATTCTCCAGTTTCATTGTTTTGCCTACTCATTTGCCCTGTTTTGTATTGTTTATGGATGTTTTTAAGGAGAGGGCATATAAAAGCATTTTTGCTTTATGCCCAATCCTCCAGTTTCCATGTTTTGCCAACTAAATTGCCCTGTTTTTCCTCACCATCCCCCAAACGACGTGCGTAGTTTCAGGAAAAAACAAGCCTGGGAGTTATATGACGATAAGATCTGTGTTGTTCCCCCGCAGGTGTGGCTGTGTCTGGCTGATAAGCACATCCAGAACCTGCAGCTGGACTGGGACAAGATGTGCCGCCTCGCCTTCAACGAACGAAGCAACCCTGACGACGATAAACTCGGGGTTCAGATCGTGAAGGTCAGTTTCAGTTTATCTATTTCACCAGCAGTAATACTCGGGTACATAACAACCTGTTTTTCAGGCAATGCTGGGTATACAAAGGACGATTAACAAACTTTAGAATATTACGATTAACAAACTTTACAATATTACGATTAAAACGGATTAACAAACTTTACAACATTACGGTAACACATACCGTAAACATGTAAATATCGACGCCATTCAGGCAACATTGTATGCCATGTTTGTCTGTTATGTCTGGTATGTTAATAAAGAATTGAAGAATTGAATGGAACATACAATACAGAATGACATAACAAAAAAATCGCACAGTCTGACCTCTCATTTCGATCATGACATCACAACAGTCAGGTCAGTTGCCTCTTTGTGTACTGATACAGAAGCTGCTAGCCCATGGGGAGGAGTGGGGATTTCAGTAGAAATCAATTTGTGCCACCTCAGTTTGCGCGAGGTTTCATAATAGCTGTGGATCTGACATTGAAAGGTCTTTCAGCACCAAGGACAGGATGTAACATTACTGAACAGAAGTTTAACTGTTTTGGTCACTTCTTTCTTAATGTACAGAAGAATCTAGCCCATGGGAGGAATAGGAATTCAGAAGAAATTGTTTTTTGTCAGCAACGCTAGGTTTAAGAATAGCTGGTCAATCTAACATTGAAAGGCCATTCAGCACCAAGGACAGTCTGTAACATTACTTAACAGAAGTGTAACTGTTTTGGTCATTTCCCTCTTAAAGTACAAAAGCTGCAGATCTACGGGAAAATGTGGATTTCTGTACAAATTGATTTGTGCCAGCAAAGCTAGGTTTAACACTTATATCACCGTAAGCCTGCTCATGGTGTGTATAGGCAGAATAAATGCTCACATCTCTTACAGTTATCCAGTTGGGTGTTATGTTTGTGCAGAAGCTACTAGCCCATGGAGAAAGGGGGGATTTCAGTACAAATTGATTTATGACAGTAAAGCCAAATTTCACTTTATCTTGCTTGCGGTTTGTATAGCCAAGGTGAATACCCCCATCTCTCACAGTTAGCCCTGTCTACTGGGTATTGAAAACTATGTTGTTGATCTGTAGTTGGTATATATGTGGTATTATGAAGCACAGCTAGCCATATCTACTGGGCATTGAAATCTTGGCATTGACAGATGTAGTTTGGCATATATGTTGTATGCCATATCTATCTACAGTTTATGGTTTTATGAACTACAGTGACCCATGTCCAGTGGGTATAGAAAACTGTACGTTGATAGATGAAGTTTAGTGTACATGTGTGGTTGCGAATTACAGTCACACAGTTACTCATGTCTACTGGGTGTTGAAAGCCGGATGTTGATCTGTAGCTTGGTGGAACCGCCATTAACATTTATCTGGCAGGTTACATGAATCCACCACTTTTGAAAACAGTACATGTATGTTTGAGAGATCTCTAATGTAACACCCTCCAGGTATGCACAGTTTAGATATACAGGAGTGTATTATATTTGGGGATTTTGAACTGGAGAGCAGCGAATACATGTATATGTGACCTGGTGGAATTACATGTATGTCAGTAGACATCTCAACGTTATATGTGGTGTTGAGAATTACAGTCAGACACGTCTAATACCGGGTTTTGAAATCTGTCTGATGATCTGTAGTTTGGTATATTTGTGATGATTCTGAATCACAAAGATGGAAAGGTTATGCCCCTGGAGCCCCAGGTGGTATTCTGCTGCAGGTAATGTAGCAAGTGTTATGTGGGCTTAACACTGCAGTGGAGGGAGATTAAAAGCTACCGTGGCCGACAAGAACAAAATTTTACACCGCAACTTTTGGTGTTTTACACCGCAACTTTTGGTGTTTTACACTGCAACTTTTGGTGTTTTACACTGCAACTTTGGGTGTTTTACACTGCAACTTTTGCTGTGTTTTACACTGCAACTTTTGCTGTGTTTTACACTGCAACTTTTGGTGTTTTACACTGCAACTTTTGCTGTGTTTTACACTGCAACGTTGCTGTGTTTTACACTGCAACTTTTGCTGTGTGGAAAACTTACACCCCTCCCCTTTTATGATGGACGGTCCCCCTGTCAGGTCAAAGGTGACAACGATGGCATGCAAACTACGTCGACTGAGTTATCCTTTTCGTGCATAAGTTTTTTAGAGGAAAAGCTTGGCTACGTTGTGACGTTAGTTTTTTTCTAAAGGCCTTTGAGTCACGTGACATTTTCTAGCTAGAGAATTCGGACTCGCAAGGTCGCTAATAATTGAGTAAATATTGGGCCTATGGGAGTCAAATGTGGCACCACTTGGTACTATGAAGCAATAAAGACTTATTTTCAATTATGAAGTGTTGACTCTTGACTCAGGTAAGTTATCGATCATTAGGGAACAATACGAGCGATCGCCATGACGTCACCGTAGGCAAAAAGTGGGTGCCAGTTGGCTGATTTGCCTACCAAGAATTTGCATATGTCTTCAAATAATTTGCATGCGTATAATGTAAACAAAAACAGCGATCGCTCGTACACAAATGTAGAATAATATTGTATACAATATTTATAGTTAATAAGACATCTAATCAATGTTAATTAGTCAATCACTAATTTATAAACTGTCATCATGGAGGCAATACAGTGTTGTGTAAGTATAGTAAAGTTAGAACACAAAGAAGAACAGACAGAATTATAAATCATCAATTTATTCACAGCTTGATCAATTTCTTAAGATCCCATTCTGTTCATGTCTCACACTCAGTCACAGCACGACACTGTGACTCTCAGGCCGCCGCCATCTTTGTCACTTTTGACCTGACAGGGGGACCGTCCATTATAAAAGGGGAGGGGTGTAAGTTTTCCACACAGCAAAAGTTGCAGTATAAAACACAGCAAAAGTTGCAGTGTAAAACACCAAAAGTTGCAGTGTAAAACACCAAAAGTTGCAGTGTAAAACACCAAAAGTTGCAGTGTAAAACACAGCAAAAGTTGCAGTGTAAAACACAGCAAAAGTTGCAGTGTAAAACACAGAAAAAGTTGCAGTGTAAAACACCCAAAGTTGCAGTGTAAAACACCAAAAGTTGCGGTGTAAAAAACCAAAAGTTGCGGTGTAAAATTTTGTACTTGTCGGCCACGGTAAAAAGCAATGCATCTTACTTCACTTAAGCCAATAACGTGTTGGATATTAGGTTACCAGAGGTCAGTATGTGTGGGTGATGTCAGAGATTGCTAGTTTGACTAATCTGCCCTGTAAAGATCTCCTGTTTATGGAATGAAATGGCTGAGAAGGCTTAAATTCCTGAGAAAGTAGAAGGCTTCTGTAGCAAGTTGATATTTTGACTCTGATGTTTTTGAATGTCTTTCATCCTGAGGTGAATTTTGCACAGGCATACAGTGTATGTTGGGTTAATTGTTGTTGCATCATTGAAATGTGTTTCAGGGAATTTGAGTAACTCAGAAATGTACATGAGACACACGTGTCAAGAGAATGGAGATCATGTTTCCTGCATGTGTTTCCTATAGGATTATTGTTGGGTTACATCATGTTGCAATTTTTTAGCAGGAGGGATTTAGACTCCTGTCTGACCATATATATGAATGTGTTTGAGAAGAATTAACAGAGCAGACCATATGCGAAGGTAAACATTATGCCAGCCTTTGCTTTGCAAATGTCACCTTTCTAATAACTGTTCCTTTTGTGTTTCCTGTGTTCCTATAGGACCTTCACAGAACGGGTTGCAGTGGATTCTGTGCGGAGCAGGACAGGGTGGTGCTGAAGAGAGTCCTCCTGGCCTACGCCCGCTGGAACAAGTCGGTGGGGTACTGTCAGGGGTTCAACGTCCTGGCTGCCCTTGTCCTGGAGGTCGTGGAGAGGGTGGAGGAGGATGCTCTCAAGGTCAGTGGGGTCAAAGGCTAGGGTTTAAAGTTCATTGGGGTCAAAGGCTTGCGGTCATATTAAGTGTCGTAGGACAAATTTCCATAGAGTTGAAAGTAGGAGAAAACAGAGAGGAGATTGATTTTTTTACCTTACAGAGAGAATTCTGTTCATGTTAAAAAAGCAATAAGAAATTAAAGAATGTTCTTACATTATAGCACATTGAGTAAAGAGACTCTTTTTACACAACCAAGTCTTTTATTCAATTATAAAAGACTTTTATAGAACATTAAAAATCTATATCATAACCAATGCAATTTTCGTGAAAAAGTTCACAGCATGGAGTACCTGAACCACCTGAGACATGGAATCATTAACAACCAATGACAGCAAAGATAACATTAAGTCGTAAGGAACTTAATCAATTAACAGCCACATTAATTACCCCCCAGGTGATGATCTACCTGATTGACTACGTGCTGCCTGACAGCTTCTTTGCCAACAACCTGCGTGCCTTGTCGGTGGATATGGCCGTGTTCAGGGAGCTGCTGAGGATACGGCTGCCAGACCTCTCCAAACACCTGGACGACCTGCAGAGGAGAGCTAACTCCAACCCACAGGGTAAGAGTTACAGTACTGTACATGTATTATCTGTACCTGTATTGGTATAGCCGGTATAACTGCCCCTCAGCATAACACACCAGCTTCGCAGGCACACGGCGCAGCGACAGCTGCCTACATCTTTTTATTTACAAAAATCCAAAATCGTTCTGTGAAGTTTCTGTTAAAGTGTCTATTCTTTCTATCATGACAATGACAATTAAATGTATTAATATTCATGCCCAATATGGGTTAAATCACTAGATGCGTTAAGTCAGCTAACTAAAGTACATGTACATATAAAAGGGTAGGAAATTTATGCTATATTTCATCTATATCTACAAACTCTCTTCTAAAACCATGTGTAGATACATTTACAGAATTGTAGTTTTTTAGCTGAAAGATTTATACATGTATACTTCAGTAATGCAGTCTGCCTCTTTCTGCATACAGGGAACTACGAGCCTCCCCTGACCAACGTGTTTGTGATGCAATGGTTCCTGACTCTGTTTGCCACCTGCCTGCCCAAGTCCACGGTGCTCAGGGTCTGGGACTCCGTCTTCTTCGAGGGGTCGGAGATCCTGCTCAGAACAGCCCTGGCCATCTGGGCCAAGCTGGGAGAGTGAGTCGGTTGTTTAAACTTGGTCCAGACCTTTTAGCATCTGTTTTATATGTCTGTGAAAATTGTTGTATTTTCAGTGATGTAACATTTATTAAAGGCTTTGCTTTGCTATTTACTCAGTCTGGTACTTGGGCATTTTCTTGCATTTTGTGACCTCTATCCCTCTGATATATTGGTTTGGGGGTCATGGACATGTTCAAATTTTGGTCCAGACCTTGTAGTTAAGCTAAGTTAAGTTTTTCAAATTACAGTATGAAACTTCAGTGTGGTAACAGTATTTTTGGTTTTGACATGAACCAATGATTTTTCAAGTGAACTTAAATCTTGAAAGAAGTGTCACAAGCATGCATGTACATAATCATACAGTCCCTTGACTGTACCATATTCTCTTTTCTGAGAACATCATCTAATATTCAAGTGCCGCCATGGGAGAGCAAACAGCTTTAGACAGGGAAGCCCTCTGGACTATGGCCTGTCGGAATCCAATTGTGTGTCAGAGAAATCAGATCAGTTCAGCTGATAACTGAGTTACTGTCTGTTCCCTGCTTGACTTGACTTACATGTATGCCGAGTCCTGGTGTCCCTGGCCTCGAGTCAAAATGGCAGCCCAACCGTCCTCTGGGCTTCCTCCTCCCATGCTTGGGGGTCCAGAGTACAACTTATGCACTACAAGCTCGGCCACAATCTCCTCCTTACTCCTATGGCAGTGACCTGCAAACCTCAATCTTCTTGTTCTGTTCCCTGCAGTCGTCTGAGGGACCTGGACTCGGCAGACCAGTTCTACGGGACCATGGCCATGCTGTGTCAGGAAATGCTCATGATGAACTTGATCGACCCCAATGAACTTGTGCAGGTCAGTATGTGTAGTCTCTATCCTTGGTGCTGAATGCCATTCACACGGACAGTACAGTCTCTGTCCTTAGTGCTGAATTATATCTATACTGACAGCACAGTCTCTATCCTTGGTGCTGAATGACATTCACACTTGACAGCACAGTCCCTGTCCCTGGTGCTGATTGTCATTCTTTATTCATTGAGTAAAGAGTCTCTTTTTACACAACCAAGTGTTTTATTCACAGCCGATGTTTTGGTGACTGTTTGTCATCTTCCTCACGTTTGGGAATGCATCTTTTTTGGAGGTAGTAGCTTATGATTTGTCCCACATTTTAATGATACGTAGGTTTTGTGATGTTAATGATCCCTCTCTCCTGCCTCAGACGGTGTACAGTTTGGCTTCGTTCCCCTTCCTTTCAACCTACATTACTGAGGCTTCTGACTCCTTTTTTAGCGAATTGTCCTCACATTTTGGAATGCATCGTTTTTGGAGGCACAATGCAGTAGCTTATGAATTGTCCCACATTTTAATGATACGTGGGTTCCATGATTTTAATGATGCCTCTCCTTTTTCCTGCCTCAGACCGTGTACAGTCTGGCTCCGTTCCCCTTTCCCGGCCTGGACGAGCTGCGTGAGAAATACACCTACAACATCACGCCCTTCTCCCCGCTGGGCACAGACAAGGCTTAACATTTTAATGATACATGGTTTCCGTGATTTTAATGATCCCTTTCCTTTCTCCTTCAGACCACTGCCTGGACATTTCCTTGAACGCTTAGGAGCGATATTTGAGGAAACTGTCAAGCGTTGTATGAAGACTTACAGGCTGTTTTAGGGAGCCATTTTAGGTCACATGGGGTCAGAGGTAGTGCCACTAATTACATGATTTTATCTCTCGCCAAAATACTTACCGTGATTTTAATCATCCCTCTCTCCTGCCTCAGACGGTGTACAGCCTGGCTCCGTTCCCCTTCCCGGGTCTGGATGAACTGCGCGAGAAATATACACCTACAACATCACGCCCTTCTCCCCACTGGGCCTGACAAAGCTACATTTCAATGATGGGTTCTGTGATTTTAATGAGCCCTCTTCTCTCTCCTGCCTCAGACGGTGTACAGTCTGGCTCCGTTCCCCTTCCCGGGTCTGGATGAGCTGCGAGAGAAGTACACCTACAACATCACGCCCTTCTCCCCGCTGGGCACAGACAAGGCTACATTTTAATGATACGTTCTGTGATTTTAATGTGCCCTCTCCTTTCTCCTGCCTCAGACGGTGTACAGTTTGGCTCCGTTCCCCTTCCCCGGCCTGGATGAGCTGCGAGAGAAATACACCTACAACATCACCCCCTTCTCCCCGCTGGGCCTCTTTTTACACAACCAAGACAGTGTTTTATTCACAGCCGACATTTCGATGACCGCATGGTTAATGATCCCTCTCCTTTTTCCTACCTCAGACCGTCTACAGTTTGGCTCCGTTCCCCTTCCCGGGCCTGGACGAGCTGCGAGAGAAATACACCTACAACATCACCCCCTTCTCCCCGCTGGGCACAGACAAGGCCAAGAAGGCCATGAAGATGGCCACCAACAGCGACGAGGAAGTGGAACTGGACGAGGATGACTTGGCCATGGCTATCGGCTGCTTTGGTGGGATCTTCCCGCCAGATGCTTCCCCCAAGAAAAAGGGAGAAAAAGGTGAGGATGTTTCTGGTTATTGTTTTATTTTATTTTATTCTATTCACATGGATTTTTGAGCATTGGATAGGAAGCACTTGTTGTGCTTATGTGAACCCGCTGCTCATAAAACATAATACAAAAGTAAACATAAAAACATCAGGTTATTATGACAGTATACTTAGAAAAGATACATTTTTCAAGAAAGACATCATCTTTACAGTGTTTTTTTAAATTTCGCAGTTGTTAGTAATAGCAGACTCTGAGCTGATAAATGGTTTCTTTCCTTGTTAATCTGTTACAAAATTTTAAAATGTTGTCTGTTAGAAAATAACACTGGCCTCTGCTTCAGAAATTCTGTATCTCTCCTTTGTGTGGCTAGCAAAGTCACAAGATCAAGAAGCCACGGGTTTAATTCTTTTCATTCGTAGCTAGACATCGTGTCCTTGGGAAATGCACTATACACAACTTTTCTTACTCCACCCAGTTGTAAAATGGGTACCTGACTTCAGTTGGGGATGTAAAAGGCAGTGGAAGAAGAGGGATAGACTCTGCCCATGCGACACAATAGATTTAACAACCCACTGCTTCTATGGCCATAAAAAGTCTATTGGACAACCTTTACCTCTTTTTTCATCTCCCGTTTTACCAGAAGGTGAACAGAAGCCAGTGAGTGACATGCGGGAGGTGAGCCCCGGAGCGTACTCGAGCCGTACGGAGCATATCGAGATGACCCGTACGGCCCTGATGGAGCGTATGTCAACAGACATCACGGCCCTCAAGAAACAGTACATGCGTATCCGCCAGAAACAGCAGAGAACACATCTCATCTATCCAAAACAGGGTGAGTTGGCATACTGGAATACGGTGCATGTATTTAAATTTGCTGATGCATCACTGCTGTAAAGATGCCCCCTAGTAGACTAGCACAACATTGCAGCTTCCTTTCTTCTTGTAGCTCCAATCTTTAATACTGCACTAACCTGTATATACCGGTAATATTTCTAGCCCTGCTACATTCATTTATATCAATCTGTCATAGTTGAAAATAAAGTTCCAGAATTGTGAAATACTGGAAATAGAGGATGATTGCTTCATCTACACAATCATAACACAATCATAACAATCTTCTATTCTCTAGGTAATGAAAACAAGAGCACCAAAAAAAATTGTACCGGAAAAAATTGTGTAATACTGGTAGTAATGGGGAATGATCACTACCCGATCATAATAATCTTTTATTTTCTAGTTAGTAGAACATTCATCAGTCAGTTACTGTTTTGAAAGGATTGATGAATATTCTACTGTTAAAATGTTAATCTTGCGTGACTGATGAACCTCTTCAACAATTTCATTTCCTAGGTAATGAAAACAAGAGCACCAGCACCCACAAGTTCTCGGCCACAGCGAGGGACACTCCCATCGCCATGAACCACCTGTACGTCGCCAGGAAGATCGCCAGCATCCAGGGCAAGACCAAGCGGATCAAGGGTCCCGAGATCCGCCCTGCGGCGCCGAGGGGCAGGCACCCGTCCGACGGGGGGAGACGGGACAGCGCCAGGAGGGAGTCCGGGAATGACACGGACTCGGACGGGGGCGTGGAGATACAGATCCAGTGGACGTCGTCGCCACCGACGGGCCGGTCGCCAACGGAGGCCGCCGAGCGGAGAGGCTCCGAGCACAGCGTGGAATCCAGCGTGGGGAGCGAAGCATCGGGAAACACAGGGTCTGTATATGTTAACCTGTTTCTGTACCACCAGCTAGTATAACTGCCCTTCGGCATAATACATCAGCTTCTATATGAGTGTATAGCCAGTTTAACCGCCCTTTGCTGTAACACACCAGCTTCTGTACCTGTTTCTTCATAGCCGTTGTAACTGCCCTTTGGCATAACACACAAGCTTTGAGCAACCTGTCACACACCTAACTGTGTAAGTGTTGTTTAAAGCTGTCTAGTGAGTGTGCCGTACTGTACTTGGTGAAAATGATTTACATCATTCTATTTCTTGTGCAACTTTTCTTCTGGTGTCAATTTTGGTGGTCTTGCAGTTGTTCGTCATGTACTGACGTAGTATACTCACATGTATTGTGCATATTTGTCAATTTATCTACATTGGAAGACATTACTTTATTACGTACTGTAACACCATATTGTTACCCGTTTTCCTTCTGTTCAGGAAAGAGAGGGAGTCGGTGGACAGTAATGAGGGGAGCGTAGTGTCCGAGCGGACGGGTATGGAGGAGATACAGGAAGAGGAGGGTGGAGGGAAGGAGAGCGAGGTGTGCGACACTTCGGACAGCGAACCCGAGCTGAAAACCACATCAGATATTGTCCCACAGGACGTGGAGAGGAGCAACACTGTCCTCTCGCCAATCCAGCCTTCCAGCGAGGACGAAACGCACGCCGACTTCATGGCCAGGGGAATGAGCTCGGCGTGCGACAGTTCCAGCGAAAACGACAGCACCGTGCCAACAACAGAAACGTGGAAACCTTTGAACACTGCCGGGGAAACCGACGCCACGGACAACAAGAAGATGAAGCCGCGTCCGACTGACCTTGACCTTCAAGCCATCAGTAACTTCTCATCCAAAGACCCCCCCTCCCCCTCCAGCACGTCTTCCATCGAGAACCAGAGGCCTTCCAGTCCAACCCTCCCGGGAATCAAGTTGACGAAGGCGCGGCCAGACAGCGCGGGAACGATCGGAGGCAAGTTCTACCCCTTCCCGCGACCCAAACAGTTCAAGACGGCGAAGGCAAAGAACGGAGTGCAGCTGAGCTTGTACAAACAGACGCCCGGAGAGAACCAAACTGTCACGTCGCCGACGAAGGGACCGTTCCCGGTGATCAAGAGGTCACACATCAACCAGTGTCTGCAGAGGCAGTATATGGCCAGCGCTTCCAAGACCACCACATACAGATAGTCGTGGTCTTCATGTGTTAATAATATAGCTTAGTAATACCTGATCTTGTACATTTCATTTGTACACAGCACTCAGTTGTTGGAATTCTGTGCAAAACTTTTCAAATATATTGTATGCAACCTTGATTTGATGTTCATATGACAGAAATCAGGACCACTGTGGAGTGATGCTAAATTGCTAATGAATATAAATGTCATCTCCTTTCTCACTGAAGTTGTATTCTCATACACCAGTAGAGCTTCCACATGAAGCTGTGCTGATTGTTTGATTGATTGATTGATGTTATGCATTTTGATAGAAATTCTATTGTTTGGGTTTGGATTATGCCATACATTCATCTTTTTTTTTTGTTCTAAGTTGAAGAGGCAGAACAATTGGAAACAAAATTGTGGAGAATAAATTATTGATTAAGCTAATTATCTCGTTGATTTGATTCTTATGCAAAGTAAGAGGAAGAAACAGGTAACATTTGGTCTGTGGCACAGATTTGCATTAGGTTTACTTTAATGAGGGTTTGATACATGAATGTATGGCATACTCAAGATGACTTTAAGTGCAAATGAAGTTTCTATGGAGAGATACCCAAGCTTCTCTTCTGTTAGTCTTCAAGTTTTGAGTGGCAACTTGACAGGAAAAACTTAGACATTATGATAGACTGTGTGCTGGTAGAACTACATGCAGTAGTTAGTGTTATGTTTATTATGATAGGACATATTATTTTATGCTTTACGGTAATGGAGCATACTGTATAAACATGTACATTTTGCTATTGTTTAAGCAGATTTATGATGCAAAAGATGTACATATTTCTTGTACATTCAGAGATATGCTATTATCTATATAGTATTCAGATTGGAAACGAAAAGAGATATCTAGTCTATAGCTACTTGAAGAATAAGTTTAGATGTAGTGCATTGAAGGATGTGATCTAGGTTGCAATGGGCTGGTGCAAAATGGTAATTCTCGCTTTTGGAGTAGAACATTGTAGATAATCATGGCTTCTAGCTGCTGAAGAAATGAAGAGAGGTCGATTTTTCAGGGCTCTGTTGTACATGTGCTAATTAAGAAGAAGAACTTGCTGCAATCAGGAAAAAAATGTGTTGAAATGGCAATAAAAGCTATATTCTGAAATGCCTGCGGATCTTGGTCATTGTTCCCAACATCCCAGAAAAGTACTTCGCCAGGACAGTGTCTTATTTATTTATTTATTTTATTTCATCACAGGACGGCTGGATGACCCCATTCAGCTTGCATTGTAGCTGTTTTCCAAGGGGGCCCAGCAAAATTATAAGACATTGTTACATACAGTAAAACAAGAGTGGACAACATACAGTAAACATAAAAAGTCCGATGCGTCAAAACAGAGTCATAGTCCTATACTCAACAGCCATAAAAGGAGTATTGACAGCTATATCAAGGCCGTGTTCGACGAAGGAGTTACCAGAGGCTACCCGCTATCAAGCTCCTGAATGCAGAGATGCATCCCTGCAGTTCAGGTAACTTGTTCCGACGTGATGTTACGTTGTATAGCAGCTGCATCATTATGTATTGGTCTTTCAAAGGTCTTTCATCTCTTGAAAATTGAACCGATTCTCTTTTTTATTTGTCATCCTCAACTGATCGTGAAGTGCGGCATGATGTTTTTTTTTCAAGAAGCTCCTAGTGCAATGCGGCTTCGCTGCGGCATTTTAGCCAAGCACACGGGGTCTTCATTTTTTAAAGCGAAAAAGGCTAAAACAAACTACAATGTAGGTCATATGCTGTATTGAGTTCTGCTACCTTTTTAGAGGCATTCTCTAGATGACACGCAAAGAAAGGATCCAAATTCCATGGAGAATATAGGGGTCAACACACGTGATGGTCAGGTGAACAAAGACATTTAGTAACATGCCTAACCTCCAAGCAGATCCTAGGGTGGCATAAGACAGTATCAAATTGGCCAGACAGACATCACGGCCAAGAGTGGCGTATTGGACCCTCTCTGGCCAATGGATACTGCCTGGCCAAATTGATACTGCCACCCTAGGATCTGCTTGGAGATTAATTGGTGATGAGCAAATTAAGACCGGTTTGTCAGCTTTTTGTCCCTAATATAAGGGCTGTCCTCCTGACCCCTTTAGTAACAGGCTTCATTATTTAGTGAAAGCCCCTTGTGACGCCTCGCCAGGTCCTGCGCGCCCACCCCATACAGGTGAAGATAACTGTCTGAAAACATGGATGATTATATCAGAGTCATCGACTTTTCCGCCTACAGTCTGGGCACCGAGAACATCGCAGAGGCTGATTTGGAAGCCCTGACCCAAGAGCTGATGCACTCCTTCACAACCTCCGGCTTCGCGTACCTGAAAAACACAGGCATTACACAACAGGAGGTGCGTACGGCAAATTTCTTACCGCTTTACCACTTTGAATGGCCAACAGAAGGAAAAAAAAAAGATTTGGCGCTCGATGGATTGTTACTGGGTGATCCGGCTACTCTTTTACATGTAGTACAGTCTGAATTGCGACTCGTGCGTGCGATATTGGTGGGGCTAGCCGCGTCGCAGGGTATGGAGCACCTGCCATTTTTGTGCTAAGATGACCTCAATGCGCGGTCATTAAGGACTGCCAGGTGTTTTGGACCGCTCACACCGGGAAGGATCCCAACTCTTTTCGATATGTACATGTGTGTTGGGTTCTTAAACGTGATCGAGGAGTGACTCTCCTCACTGAAATGCAGAACCCCCGGCTCTTCGTCCCATCCGAAAGGACGTCCCTTGCCTACGCTGACTACTCCTCACTTTCTAACCTGTTTGTCTGAGAGACAAAGGTGCCTTTCCTGAGGGCATAACGTTAACACTAGTACTGGTGTCAGCGATTCAAACTCAGAACTTTTAGATCCTGGATCAACAATCGTAACCAAAAGACTTTGAAGATCGGATACAGCTAATCGCAAATCGTTTAGCGCCGTATGATCACAAATGATCACCCGCATATATAGTTTGTTAGTAATGTTACTTCGCCCTGGGCTTGTTTACGCAAGAGATACAACAAAAGAGAAATTTTACCAGCAAGTTTCAGCGACTTACGACAAGATTATCACATCCGACGTCCTCTTGGATGGGACGTTAAGCTGGGGGTCCCGTGTTTGAGAAGAATCGCACCTCGAGCGCGTTAAAAACCAGGGTAGGTCCTTACCTGCATGAGTAGTTCAAACCTTATATTCCGGCCTCATGCATGGTTGACATCTTGACGAGGCGATAGTAACCCGTTATGCCAATCCTTCCACAAAATGTGGAAAATTTCAACAAATGTCTGTCTTCTTCAGGTTGATGAGATGTTTGACGTGAACGACAGGTTTTACGACCTGCCCGCGGAGATCAAAGAGAAGTACGCCCGGGCTCAGGACACCAGCCGGGAGCGGCATGGCTGGGCATGCATCGAACGAGAAAGGTACGTACATGTAGATCTGTAATGTTGAGGTCACATTTCCAAACCGGGGCCCGGCCGGGCTGTTTGGATTAGCGAAAAATGAACAATTTATATCATGAATATACACAGATAGTTCCCATTGTTGATATTTTCAACTTTTTTGTGCTTGGTTGTCTTTTATATTATACTTTTCGATCCATAAGACTGCCCGGCCGGGCCCCGGTTTGGAAATGTGACCTCAGTCTAAAGAACCTTCAAGTACCAGAGTTATAAACCAAGGATTGTGGTGTTCAAAGACTCCGTGTTTTTCCCTAGCGCTGAAATTGGAAACACATTTTACTAGGTCTCAAATGTTTTTGAAAATAGGTACTAGTATGCTAGTGTAACAATGTATATTGTTAATATCATAACGTAATAAATTTATTTATTTCAACTTTATTACAACAAACAATGACAATAGAAAGCGTTGTATTCTCGCCGGGTCTAACCCCTCCCTCGAGCGTGGTCGGCCACCTGTTCGAACACGTGCGGGCGAGCGCATCAGGCTCAGCGCACATGCCTGCAACGTGATCTATATAGAATACATCACGGGGTATTCCGTATCGCCCGAGGTACCAGCCCGACCGCGCGTCGGATCGCCCGACGGCCGGAGGCTGGAGGGAGATCCGATCCGCGGGAGGGCTGGGACCGAGGGTGATGCGCAATACACCGTGCGGATACCAGAAATCTACAGCAACTCCAGATGTAACATTTTTTATGTCTTGGAGTGGTCGGACTACGGCGCACAGATATGTCAACTTTGTATATGTAAATGTTAATTGTACTTTTTTTTGTTGTGTGGCCCTGTTAATATAAGTTGTAAACTTGAGTGCAGCGTCACACTGTCCTTGTTATGTTTTGATGTTTTGATGATTAAAAACAACAACTCCAGATTGCGTAGAGACTTTGTGTGTAGATCAGTGCAATGCACGCTCAACTCACACCTGTCTTGCTGAAGGCATTGCGTAACCTGTTGTTTATGTTAATCCCGCATGTTCAGCCTGAGTGGTCTCTCAGGGGTGGACCGGCCGGGCGACCTCAAGGAGTACTACGGCATCAAAATCCCAATCACCGATGACGAGGTTAGTATTCTTCCGCCGACTCTACACTACAAAGCATGATTAAATGCTTAAAAAACGAAGCCAATAATTAATACGAAACATGTACCGCCATCCTTTAAATGTTAACATCATTCGGCAAAGTCATGAGGTCATGGAACTGTTTTGCTCTGTTTCTTCTTTCTCTTCTTCTTCTCCAAATACATATTAGAATGTCAATGACTTGGACCAGACGTCTGCCACCATGGTACTTGGTGCTGTAGCAGACACCCTTTGGTGTTGGGTTACATTTTGTTGCAGGTCCGACAGAGCTAGATTGGCTACTCACCATATACTATAAACAAAGCAGTGGTTTGTTGGGCTAGACCCATGTGAAAGTAAACATTCGCATTTTGCTTTGCAAACGTTACCTTTCTAGTTCATATTGCATTTTACGACATGACCTTTTTTTATTTCCAACTTTGTTTTGCCAGTCTTGGCCATTTGAAGTCCCGGAGTTTGAGGAGACATGTCTCAACTTCTACGCCGCGTGCAAGACCCTCACTTTCCGGATGCTGGAACTGATAGCCAGGGGCTTAGGCATCGAGGTAAGTGGCGAAAACATTTTTTTATAATCCATGGAACTAATATGTTGTGATAACGAGGAAGTAAAGGCACGGCGGCAAAATTACGGGAAATAATACTGTACAGTGTAAAGTCCTTTATCGAAGAACTACATAACCTGGATGGCAGGCTGTTGTAATCCCTAAGCAGATCCTAGGGTGGCAAAAGACAGTATCAAATTGGCCAGGGAGTGTCCATTGGCCAGAGTGGGTGGCGTATTGTACCCTCTCTGGCCAATGGATACTGCCTGGCCAATTTGATACTGACTTAAGATTTGTCGAGATGTTTGCCCTCATAAGTATCGATATTCCCTGGAGAATACGTGAAGAACAAAGAAATTAGCATTACTAATGGCCACTCAGCGTTTTGTCCCTAAGGGCTCTCTTCCTGACACCTTTCATAACACTTTCAGTCTTCATTATTTTGTGAAAACACTTTGTGACGCCTGGCATAATTACTGGTCGATTGGTCAGTATTCTGTTTGGATGATTGTATGACCTTATGTGGCGTCCTAGTGCTTAGCCTGGATGTCAGACTGTTCAACGGCCAGGACCTACACAGGACTGTCCCTCGGGTCCATGGTACAAGGAAATATTGCAACACACACCCCTCAGTTAAATGTTGCTGCTTAGGGTCTAACGTTCCTTGGGGTGTGGAGCCAAGGAGCTGACCTGTATGCTGGTCCTGGCAACAGTCGGGCACCCAGGCTATGATATTCAAGGCACAATCACACACACACAATCACACACACACACAATCGATATCGATATTCTAAACACGCGCAACTTACATGTACCTACTACGTAGCCTTGCTACCAGACATATTTTAGCTCCCGAGTCTTCATCCTCTATTTGCGGTGAGGATAAAGACTCGGGAGCTACAATAGGTCTGGTACGAGTAACCAGGCTTCTTAATACCTACAACAGGTTGCCGGCTTCCTGGACATGTTCAAGCACATGGGGACAGGCCCGAACGGCACCAACCTGCGCTCGCTGCGCTACCCGCCTGTGCCGGACGTCGTCAAGAAGAACCAGCTCCGGTGTGCGGAACACACGGACCTGGGCTGCATCACGCTGCTGTTCCAGGACAAACCCGGGCTGGAGGTATGACACACCGATATACTCTCACAGAAAACTGACCTATAAAGGGCCCAGCGGAAACACACAGACGTACACACACACACACACAATTTTTCATTAAGGTAAGAGGACCTTCATTGTACATGTATGTCCACTGGGTTGAGTGCAAATTTACTCTTTCTCTCACAATTCAGAAATATTAAGTGTGAATGAAGCCCTTTGTTGTACATATATACCCACTGGGTTAAATGAAAATCTACTCGTACTCTCAAATCAGAAAAATTCAATGAACGAATGAATGAATGAAGTGTACCCACTGGGTTAAGTGAAAATCCCACAAATCTGGTTTTGTGTTAAACTTTGATACTATATATATATATAACCGTTATATATGTGTATGTTTTAAGGTGTCCACCGGGGACGATTTTGTCTCGGCCCCGCCTATCCCGGGGACTGTGGTGGTGAACATCGGAGACATGTTACAGCGGTGGACGGCGGACAAGCTGGTGTCCACTGTAAGTCATCTGCTGGATTCTCTGTTTCTGCACGTCAAAATGGTGTCACAAAACAGGACAAGACAATCATTTAAACAAAACAAAATTAGCATATCCAGAACACCATATATATATATATATATATATATATATATATATATATATATATATATATATATATGAAGAAATATGTACTTGTCCTGATTTTTTATGAGATGAAACACAATTCAGGAGTATTACATGTACCAAGCTTGAACCTCCTTGCATGTACTATATACTTCTGCCAAGTTGATTGATGTGCATCTGTATCTGTATAGCCGGTATAACCGCCCTTCGGCGTGACACACCAGCTTCGCAGGCACGCGGCGCGGCGGCAGTTTAGACTGGTCAGATTAGACTAGACATTGCAAACAAACAATGACGCAGTTTTTTTTACCAGATTATGAAATCATCAAGTCTATCATCTATTTTCCTTCTAGTAAAAAATGGTCTAGCACCCCCTTTCGATCCCATTTTTTTCTTTGGTAAAAAAATTTGAATATTTTCCAACCGACTGCAGATACACCGCGTGATGATCCCTGAGACGGCGGAGGGCCGGGGCGAGGGCCGCCGCTCCATCGCCTTCTTCGCCCACGCCGACTCCGACGTGCAGCTGAAGTGTCTGGACGGCTCCGACAAGTACGAGCCGATGATCGCTCGCGACTACGTGAAGCAGAAGCTTAATACGACCTATCTTTAAGGGCTACTGTCTGGTAGTTTCTACCAGACTCCTTTGCAGGCCGAATAAATGGTAGAAATCGGCGTAAAAAGTGAATTAAATTGGCCAGATGAGTTGGACGACCAGAGACGGCCCATTTGCCTGCCCTTGCAAATGGAGCTTCTCTGGGCGGCCAACTCCTCTGGCCAATTATATCCCCTTTTTACGCCGATTTCTACTATTTATTCAGCCTGCAAAGGAGTCTGGTGGAGACTAATGGTCTGGGTTAAGCGTTAAGCCTTGGTCACATACGTTGGAGGGTTTTCTACCACGATCATGCCGTACGTCGTTAATCTCCAAGAAGATCTTTCGGTGGCTGCAAAATACAGTATCAAATTGGCCAGGCAGTATCCATTGGCCAGACTGTGTCCAGTTGGGTGGCCAATGGATACTGCCTGGCCGAATTGATACTGTATTTTGCAGTCATCGAGACATCTGCTTGGAGGTTAGCTCGTCGTAGGTTTGAGAAGAAACGGTGCTAAAGTTTTAAGAAGTGCATCCGTTTTTTTTTCTCAAAACCTACGAGAGATCCTGCGACGTATGGCGATATCGTCGCAAAAAAAAACACTGAAGGTGCCTCGTACGATGTACTTTTGTTTATGACTGAGGATGCAGGGGGAACGTCAAAAAGTGCCTTGTTAACCTGTTCTATACTCTGCGTGTTTATAAATAATGAAGCGGACTTGTAGTCCAGCCTTGTTAAGTTTAGTCTGCTCCCCAAGATCCGCTACTCCGCCAACAACCGGACGGAGTACTGGATAGCGGACTAAAAAGCTAACAAGGCTGGACACCAGGCTAGGGACAAACAACACTAGCTCTGTAATTATGCAGACTAGTAATTATAGCTTGCGCTGTAATGTGAAGAAAATCCTTAACTGGAAACCTAAAAAAAAGAATAGACAAGGAGACAGGCCTAGGAAAAGGTGGCTATAGATCAAATAAATGAAGATCACAAAAATATCAGAACCAAACTTCAAAGCCGGCAACAACATGTTTGAGGACAGAACTGCGTATGGAGAATGTTCATGACAAGGCTGACAACTTATATATACAGGTCAATGACCTAAAGTCAGTAGGGTGAGAGTTATTATAGGTCACGAAATAGTTGTCTGCTCTTGTTGGCCAAACTGTGTGTTGTGGGTACAAAGTATGGCATTTACTAGTACACAGGCTAACCTAACTAATACAAGTGCGTGTCTCTGTGCAATAGGTATTACATGACTCAATCCTAGAAAGTCAAGTTTCAGGAGAGGTTAATAGAATGTCAATCTCAGGGAGAAATTCATCTTGAAAAACATCAGTGGTTATAGTTTTTCTGAACGACGTTTATGCATGATGTAAAAGGTGTTTCATAAGGCAAAGTGTAGTATACAATGGTCCAATATTAATGACGTTTGTCTCCGAAGTGGTGTAGATTTGCATAGAAACATAACAAAACGGAATACATTATAAATAACTTTCCATATTGGACTATGCCCTGATGTTATGGATGAGGCCGTGTGGTGTCAATTGTTTGGGTATAGCTGATTTAAGTTCCGGGTCAAAGGTTCAAAACTCTAACTGGATAGTTAGCTACAATGTAGTTATGCGTATGGCTATTAAGCTTCGAATCACCACCAACTCTCGTACCAATGATGAGTAACGCAGAAGTCTCGAGCTATTAGACCCTATCCGATTAACTAAGAACATCATGTATCACAAGAAGTGTCATTATATGTTTAATTGTATTGATTTTGATCAAGATTGAACTATATAACTTTCACTGTCTTAAATAACTACTGCAGCATTAACGGTATGAGTTATTAATCCATTTGTGTTTATATATATACATATTACAGAGAATCTTGTACTATTACCTTTCATATAATATTCTAACGCATTAGATATAGTATGCACTAACTTTCCTGAGATATATAGAATGTTACATATCTTATCCATTTACACATTATTTCAAGTATGAATGCTAAATTTCGTTCATACATTTGTGCTAAATATGTTTCCTGGTGTACCAGTTGCGTCTAAGAAATGGTTAGATGATAAAATATTCATGTCGCTCGTCCCAGGCCGCAATTTGGGGAGTAATTTGTACAATCAACGTGCCACCAACCCGTAATGGCGCTGTCTTGTGTGCACGCTATGCCATGCTCCACTGACTCACCATAGGTCTGCTATAATTACTCCTGGAACGCCGATTCTTGGAAGGGACTTAACTGTGTAGCTAACTGTGTAAATAAAGGATGACGTGTGTATAATGCAGCTGTATTGTTCTTTGCTACAGATAGGCAAGGGTGATGCAAGGAATAACCGCCCTTCCGTTCGCAGATCACCTGCCTTGAATCCAGTCCAAGGCGAAGTACAGTAGCGTTCATACCAAGGCTAAAGTTCTTCTTCAGACTCATGTCTGTTCTAGATTACGATACAAGAAATATAATACTGCATCAGGTTATAGTTTTGATACATCCATGGTGGCAAACATTGGTACTCACATCAGGATGTTCGAACGTTCATACTCAGTGGGTCAGCTGAGGTCATTGTCTCGGTGTATTTCGCTCCAATTAACCAGAGGTTGACGTTTTTCATGTTTTTTTAAACCATTTAGAGGTTCTTTCGGGCTTTCTATTTTGTCACCTTTTCTTTTAGTTTCCTGGTCCGAGTACCGAAAAGAGAGAAAATAGAAAGCCCGACAAAATGTCTACAATGCTTTAACAAAACGTCTGAAAACAGGTCTAACCTCTGCTTGGAGAGTACTGCCGTACACGTATGACCAGTTCACTCGTCGTTTTTACCCACAGTAGAATCCTCTTCTCCCTCCAGGTCCTCGTCATCCACCCCGTACGGCAGCACGGCGTACCCGTACCCGTAGTACCCGGGCGGCGTGGCCATGTAGGGGTCCGCCGCCTGATGCTTCAGCAGCCACGGGGCGTGGATCGAGATGTTCAGCATCCCATCCTCCGCCGACTCCTCCACCGTGATGTCCTCGTAAGGAGGGTGGGGCTGCATCAACCCCGAGCTTCTGCGGCGCCGAACCGCCGCTTTGACGGACGGAAGCTGGCCGCGGCCGGCCCCGTTGCCCGAAGCTGCCGGCTTTCCCCTGCTGCCGTTGCCGCCTGCCTTACGGGGAGAACCCGGTGGCTCCTGTGGGTTGCTCTCTTCGGTGTTGTACCCGGAGCTTCCGGCATCGCCGGCGTCCGCGGAGCCAGGCTTGTCGCTGATTCTTGGCAGGACGACGTGTCTGTTCAGCCGCTTGTTGGGGCCGTGGGTGAAGTAAGGGAGAAGCTCGCAGCCCTCTATGACTTGGTGGCCGGCCTTGTGCTCTCTGTCGCTGGAACACAGCAGACAAGTGCGAACGTTCGTCTGGGTTGAAATTGACGGAAACTCCTTCCGCTTCTCTTCCTCCATTTCCAGCTGTTCTTGCAGCGAGGTATACACCTGTTTGACCTCGTCCCGCTCTTTCTTGATGCTCTCCCTCTGCTCGAGAAGTTCTTCGTGCTTCGTCTCTGCTTCCTGCCGTTTCTTGAGCTCCTCTTGCGCTACCCTCTCCGCTTCGCTTGCTCGGTGAGTCGCTTCCACCTCTGCTACTTTTGCCTCCCGCTTTTCCGCGAGCAGACGACGGTTTACTGACCGAAGTTCCTCAAGATCCGCCACGGCGCGAAGCTTTTCCTTCTCCACGCTGTCCATTTTGTCCTCCGCCTCTTTCAGCATCGCCTTGGTATTCCCCATGCTCTTATCCAGCTCGCCGATCGCCTTCTTCGTTTCCAGTTCCTTCTTCTTAAGATCCTGGTTCTCCTTCGTCATTTCCTTGTTCTTCTCCTGGAGCGCGCTGATCGCTTCGTTGGTCTTTTTCTTCAGCATGAACCTCTCGAACTTGAGCTCGTCCGTCAGCTGCTTGGCCTCCTCGCGGAGGTAGTCGCACTCCATCTTCTTCTTCATCAGCTCTGTCTGAAGCTGGTGGATCTTCAGCTTCGCGCGAAAATCGTCGATGACCACCGGCGAGTTGTTGAGAACCTTGATGGGGCTCCTCTTCTTGGTGGCGTAGTTCTTTTCGATGACTTCGGGTAGGGTGACGCCTTCCTCCTCGTCCATGTGGCCGTTTGGTTCCCGGGTTGGCTCCGGTTGAGGAGGAGGTACGTCGTCCTGGACCCGCTGCTCTCTGCTGTTCTCCATCCTCCTGATGTTCAAGTCAGGGTCGGCCAGACTGGCCCCGCTGCTTCGCTTCTTCAGGACTGCTCTGCTCATGGTTGGACCTTAATCTGACGACACGGTCCCGACTTTCAAAAGGCTTGCAGTCGACTGGTCTTTGACTTGCCGGTCTTTAAATACCCATCGTGATTCGTTTACCCGACGCGGAGGAGGTTGCCTTGGCGACGCTGGTTGCTATGTTCGGTTGTCATGGAAGCGCACTTGACCAATGAGAGTGCATGGCGCTGTTAGACATGGTGACCGTTGCTAAGGACCTCGTAGCAAGCTCCACCAATCCTAGCCTCTCTGTCTGCTCCATTTATGTGACGTGTGGGACCTAAAATTACATAATTGCCGGAAAGCTAGCGTGTCTGTGTGTATATAGGAGGACAGTACTACTTATTGTATACGCATACTGAGTGTATATATAGCCTCTCTTTTCTAGTTGTATATATAACCTCTCTTTTCTAGTTCTAGTTCTTTTTTCAAGGGCAAGTGAAAAAGTTAAATTCGAATATTTGTTAGAGATTCACATCACTAAACCTGTATTTTATTATCTACTTTCCAAACTCCTGTTTTCGTAGAAGGTTGGTTAATTGGATCTTAATTGTTCTTTTGCTGCTCACGAACATGTATGGTTCCAAATTATGAGGTCAACAGTCGCTAGGACAGGTGAATACAGAATTGCATCTTCTCAAGGCAAAGTGGACGAAGTACATAATTACTGTCTCCCCATTAAGATTGCGTCTGAGAAAAAGTTAAGATACTTTTCAAAGGATGTGCACGCTTAAAACAGTGATGTTCTAGAGATGCTGTTGCCAAACTTAAACACAAGAGTTAAACTCATGCACGGCAACAAAAGAGCGCCAAAATCATATCATACTGACAGGTATTGCTTGTACGACAGACACAGTTTTCAAACAGATTGCGCAAGTCAGTTCTGTTCGCGTCGCCTTGGATTGGACGCTATCCGTTACTGTCACCTGAAATGTGCAGGAACGTCAAGCCTAGCCTCCAATAGGCCAGTAAAATTCTAAATAAAAAACATATAGTTACAGTGAATTATTGACCAGGTGAGTTAATGTTACATTCTCCCTTGGAAGGAAAAAATCAAGTCTAAAGTAGCCAAATCCCCCTTGCAAATCACTCTCGATCTAGCAAAATTTTGCTATGTCTTAAAACCCGCGTTGCTAGACTGTTGGAGACTATACGACATGCCACCCGTCTGGGACACTTTCCTCCTGTCCCTCTTGATTTATTGATGAAGAAAATTGGTCTGACTGAAAACCCAAATTACACGTCCGCGAGGATGTGAAATATTGATGCAGGTTGATTGCTCCACAGAGGAAGCGCCAAGTCACATCCGCAGTCCCGCGAGAGTTGGAACAGTTGTAATTCAAAGAATGATACAATGTATTCCTTTTTTATAGAGAGAGCTACGTGTGTCCTTGGCCTGGCTAACGTGTGAGCTGATACGCGATACTTGGCGCGTGTGCTGGGCCCTTTTTTATTTCATTTTTTTTTCAGCTTCCGACCCAAGATGCTCGTCGTCCTTGTAATTGTGTCACGGTTGCTGGCTACCGTATCATTCACTCCTCACCGTAATGAAAAAAAGTCTTTTGGGTTGAAAATTTCTCATACACGTCTATAGTTGTAAGCATTGCGCAATATGAAACTCTCTTCGGTAGGTCCAATCTTTCTCTGTACAACTTTATCTTATGGGTCGTCTTCAGAGAATTGCAACGGTAACCCCATCACGGCAATGGCCACGGGAAGTTGCCCGATATTTATCTAACGTTATCATTTATCAAGTAATTATCAAATTTACCAAGTCGACTCCATTAACAAAGATGTTTAGGATTTTCAGTGATTTGCCAGCACTAGCGCTTAAACAAGTCATGAAATAGTATTGATATGATGAACCCCTGAAAACTTTCCGACAGAGCTCTCCCTCAATTTGCAAAATTAAAAAAAGACGTGTGAAAGGCGACAATATGATATGATTAGCTTTAGAACCGTGGGATCTTTGCTATCGTCACAAGCAATTTTGTCTGAAATACATCCTTATATAGCGTTACCAATTCTGAAAGACTGATGGATACCAACGACATCTATTTCTGCAATGCTCTTATTCAACGCTAGGGGGCACTTCACTTGGCAGTCAGCTGGGGCAGGGTCAAAGTGCAAATCAAAATGGCGTCGAGAGAAAAAAATTCAGAGGAGGAAGCAACAAGAAAGTTTGTTTAGTTTGATGAGGAACAGCGTTATACAGATGTAGAACTCCCCAAAATGGAACATGCGGCCATGTTGGACTTCAGGACGTGTTTCGACCTCAAAAAGGACATCGTTACTCTACTCAACCAGGAGAGTTCAGGTGAGAGCGATAGTTTGGGGGTTTTGTGGGAGGGGCGTCTGAACCAGAAGTATGTAGTTTATATTTATCATCAACGTAAAGGTACACTATACTTAATTCTGTAGTCGGGGGAATGACAGTTATCGCGCTGCACAGGATCTATAACGTGCAATAACCAAGTAAGCTGGGTTATGGAGAAATTGGCAAGTGCAAATCATATAAATTTTGGGGCGTATCATCTGTCGTCAAAAATATATTACATAAAATTTGTTGGCGTTAAGCTTTATTTGTCAATGAATGTATTATCTGGACAGGTTGTCAGTTAGTGTAATTGAATACTTAGTAAACCAAGGAGTTTGATAGGAAGGCATAATTGCGGTTAAACCGACCTGGAATTCAAAATTTAACCAATGAGAGACGTAGCCTGGGTACCATCCTCAGGTCCTGGTTAGTTTATGTCTCCTCCCACAGATGCTACATAGCAGATGTAAACTAACCTTGATGGTACCCAGGCTATGAGTGTGAGAGAGTCGATACATGTTAACGTTGGTCAAATTCTACGTATTCGTTTTGACTGATGTGGGTGGCAGTGGGGTTTAGGGTCAATTTATAAAATCATGTTACTATAATGTGTTCTTATACCCAGGTGCAGGTGCAGGTGCAGACACAGGTGCAGATGCAGGTGCTCCCAGACAGGTGAGGGTTCTGGGACAGGAGAGAGACGGAGCTGTGCTGTACACCTGGGATGACGTCTCACCTTACAGACAGGTGAAGGGGAAAAATAGTGCAGATAACTGCATGTGATACCACAGGACAATTTGTGATATGAACAGTCAAATTTGAATGTCCCTGACTGAGCCTAAGTAATGGCCAATTGGCCGTGAACTTTGACATATTACCCACAATGCTGGATAACCAACATGAATACACATGTTCTACGCACTTACCTCATGAATATTTTAAGAGCAGAAATGACCCAATTTTAAGAAGTTATATATTGACTTAGTGCAGGGGCATTGCATCATCTTTAGATATAGACCATTGTCTTACTGGAGTATACTTTTATACTTTTTTATACATTGTCTCATTGGAGTATACTCTAGAAGATTTCAAACTCACAAAACTCTCGCTACACAAGTTTAATGTTAGTGTATTTATTGACCACTTATGTGAGATGTCTTGATATCTAACATATATATAAAACAACATGTCTTAAATTTGTTTACATTTCAGGATGATGTCATTGTTAGTCACATTGGTCTGTATGAGCCAGTCAGCAAAGAGAACACTGTGAGTGTTGTATTGTTTGTTTTCACAACAAATAGTTGGATAAACAAGAATGTCACCCATGTATTTTTCAGACTGGCCCATACTTGTGTAAATACTACATTTATAATGTACTAGTACATCTATCTATCACAGTTTAATATAGGATTAGGAGGGCTTGACTGCTAAGTATTAGCTTTTGTACTTTCTGACATAAATGAAACATCAGCCAATCGATGTATACTCTATTATGCAGGTCCTTTTTGTCCATGAGAAGCTGGTACATCTTGTCAACTGTACAGTAAACCAGGAGAGGACACTTCTTGGTAAGTGTGTATTAAATATTGTTAGCTATAAATAGTGTTTTCTTCTATTCTTCTACATATAAAAAGTGTTTTCTTCTACATGTAAAGTGTAAAAATCCTAGTATATGTAAAACATGCCAAGGACAGGCAGAGAAGTCTAAAACTTAATTTGTAGTGTAGAGCTAGTAGGTTTGACCCCTCAGAGAATTTATCCAGTATATTATCCTGATTGTATTGTGTTTTCTGTACATTGTGAATTACTGAATGTTGGAAGTTGTCATCTGTAGCTAATTTAAAAGTTTTTTTTCAGCCTTCACCACCCAGGAAAAGGCCCCCTCCTCCTCTGGGTCTCCTGCACGGCACTCAGAAGGAAGACATCACGCACAAGGTATCTTATCTGTGTGTCTTGTTTTTAGATGAAGACAACAATTCACAACTTAAGAAAAAAAAATTGGCTACACTAAGTATAACTAACTTGTGACAATTGGCCAAACTTGTTTAGGTACACAGCTCTAAATTGGAAAGTATTTGCTTGTTGCTGTTTGTGCGTCAGTCTATAATTTTGGTTGAGGAACTGACTGTTATGTTTAATTTCCAGTGTACAGGTCCTACCTTGCAGAGGTGCAGCCCGCCAACCGAGTGTTTTACCTCAACATAGAGAGGGACAATTACCTTATGGTGCAGGTAAGGAACATGTAGTACCTGAACCTGCCAGTCTCAGAGTCAGGTAGAATAGGCATAACAACTGGCCCATGACTACATGTACAAATGTACATCACACTTTTAGCAGCCCTCCCACTTTTTAGACCCTTATGGCTAAGTATGGTGTCACTCATTCACTATATCCGGGCTTTGAATCTACTGCTGTGGGTGTACGTACAGGGCAGGGCAGTAGTTGGCTAGACTTCACACCACACCTCCAAAAGACTATCAGCAGGTTCAAGCCTCTCTAATGTCCTCTCTGATGTCCTTCTTGACACACTCTATCCAGGTCTTTTTGGCCTTAGTCTTTTTGGAGCTTGTTGTACATGCATTTACTTGTGTGCCAAGTCTGTGCATCTCTTGTTTCAGTTTCTGCATGGGAAGGGGCAGGGATATGGAGACACAACCAGCAAGGAGTCTCATATGCTCTTCCTCATCCATAAAGAATGTAAGTTGTTTCAATCATTTTTAATCATTGTGTAACAACTTGTTATGTTAATGCTTGTTATGTCAAAATGCTACTGTAATAATAAAATGTTCAATTCTAGATTTGTGAGAATGTATAGTAAAGTAAATGTAGAACCTGTGTATGGGCTTCTCTGCCCTTTTTGTTTGTTGTAAATTTTGGCTTGTAAATAAAGTGTAATATTTTTAAGAACTGCACTAAACTGGAAGGCAAACTAAATTTCAAAGGAGTTTGTTTCTCATTTTACAGTGATAGGACTGTACCATATGAAATTATCCAGGGTTGGATACAGCGGCATGGTAAGTAATGTCTCGCTGTCTCATTTACTCTCTTTTTCTACCTCCATGCTCTTGCTTACCAAATTCAAAGACTTGTTTCACTTTCTGTCAAAACTGACATCTCAGCCAGCACTGCTCAAAAGAGCCACCTACTGATTTTGTTTGCAACTGCAGGAGATGTGTGGCCAGCCGAGAACTGAAGTTCTGGCAAAAAGGTTCCAGTGGGCACAGTGGGACCACCAGAGGCAGAGACTGTACTACCTCAGTCAGAAGAAAAAAGTATGGTCTAGCAATGATCGATGCGTTGATATACAATTTCTAGAGAACGGAATAAAATTATTCTTGAAAATTCTAGTATAAATTTTTGACACATGTTGTAGGATGAATAATACACATAATCTTCCAAATTGTAAAATGGAAAACACTTAATTTTGTGCGAGGATGAAGGTTAGACATCCAGCTGATACGCCCAAAAGCGGTTACTCAAGCAACTGGATATGATTTTAGAAATGGTCATTTTGTGATTTTATAGTTCTTATAAGAAGTGACATGATTTTACCTGTATATGCTGGTACAATGCAATTATAAACAGCCTTTCTCACGCTCACACTTCTTTCCTACAGAACAGCAGCTCTAAGCTGACCTTTACCTGCATGCAGTTCTATGAAAAGCACCCTCCAGAAGTTATGGTAGGCAATAATGTTTTCATGTACAACATTGTGAGACAAAGTTTTATCCACTGTGTTCTTTGACATCGCAGAAGTTAGAGTGTGTTTTTTGGCAGTAATTTGAACCATTGGGAATGGTAGACACTCGGAGAAAAGAACATATGGCTGTGGCATGGGCCTCATTTCAGTATTGATGCAAGGTTTTGGCTGTGTCTTTAATGTGTCTAACATTACAAAAATAAGGACTGAAGACTGTTTTGGCAGTAGTCTTGGAACCCATAGGAATAGTAGTTTAGCAGAGACTGGCTGAAAAGAAACACATTGCAGCGTAACTTAAACTTAACTTGTGATTAGAGGTAAAGAAATGTTTTTGACAAAATATTTATACTTAAACACACAACAAAAGTTCAGCTATGCTGGGGAGCTTTCGAGACGTACTCTGTCTCTTCTTCAACCCGCTTAAGATAAAGAAATTACATTTTCATCATTCTATGACTTCTATTCTAAGTACATGTCTGGAAGTGTGCAGGTTACGTGCAATGTGTAATGTGATGTTAGGAGAAGTACTGATGACACAGTCCAGTTACTTCTATCACAAAGCCACTTATTATTACCAACATCACCCCTTTTCTTCTCTCAAAACAGATGGAAGTCCAACTGCCAATAAGCCTTCCTCCAGAGGTGTCAAAAGCACCGTAAGTCTGCCTGTTGCATTAATTTGACTTACATCTCAAAAAGTACAGTCAGATAAGTTTTAATTCCTAGAAAGTCATTTTCACACCTACTATATAGACTTGTATTGTTGCATGTGATAGCAATCTATCGTACGACTTTCCCTACAGATGAATGCTTTTAAGATTAAAATCATTATATAATCAGACTAATGCACATGTATGCAGTCGTGGATTCAATGGTTTCAACAGCAAATGTTGAACTCTGGTGTTTGACAAAGTCATAGAATGTTTTTATTTCAAAGTCCGTACAAAGTTATCCTTTCTGTTTTGTACAGAAGCACCTATAAGCACCTTCCCCTCTGTAATAAAGTCACAGGTAAGACATTACACGTCTTGAATACATTTTGTTTTAAGATTTTTTGAGTTTCATTTTGCTGTGGCTACAAGTTATGATAAAAAGGATGAGATTTGTCAAACCTACCTGTACCGGTATTATTTTTTGCTTCAGATCAAAAGCTCCGTTGTGAGGTTATAGCTCTTCCTGGAGGTAAGGATCATATAAATTATCTTTTCAGCATGTATAATGTAATAAGTAAATTTTGAAATACATTTAACCAGAATTTCATAAATACCATACATGTGTATGCTTTTGTTTGAAATCTTCATTCAGCCAACAAGATACAGGTAGTACAGTAATTTTGCAGTGGACGACAACTGAAGTTTTGTATATCCAAAACGCAGTGGGTCTTCACATATTCATAGCTACACATACATGTACTTCTACTAAGGAAAGGTTTTTAGGTTGTAATTTTTGTGACTTTTGGCTTAGTAATGTGATTGTTTCTTTCTTTTTCATTCCAAGGCTCCTTGTGTATCTGTTACCAGCACCCCATTATAACTCCAGACGACCAGCATGGACAGGTGAGACTTTGGAAAAAGTACTGGAAGGTCAATCTTTTGACTTGACTTTATTCCAATATCCAAATAGTTCCTTCTCAGCATTCTTGTTTGTTTTGACAGATCTTCTGAATGTACATGTATCTACTATATGACAAAGTTGTTGAACGATATGTAAGTTGTGTAACATACCAGATGTTATACTGGCCGAACTGTTGTATTGTACTGTTGATGTTGTATTTCATATGTATATGTAGTGTAAGTCTGTATTGATAATATTCTTCAAGATTTTAATTTGTAAGAAGTTAGGCCGCCATAGACTTTTAACCTGTATGTTTATGTGAATAACAATAAACCAGTCATCATCATGTATGTGAGAGAAGGGAAGTACAGCTCTCATTATCACCTCAGTTACGATCTGTACCATGGAATAAAGTCAAGCCATGTTTTAGATTCTGAGAAGTTGTGCGATGTTTGGTTAAGGCTGTAGCTGATAATTGCTCAAATGTGCTGTGTTGTTTCTTACAGGGAGAAGACATTGGGGAGTATGATGTTGTAGATATAGAGTACTCTGTCTTCATGTTACATCGAGGTGAGAAACATTACATTTTTTTTCAAATCACATCAAGGATTTCCTTTAAATTGTGTGATAACATTAACAGTGGTTAATAGCATCCCTGCCTCTGGACCAAGAGGTTGGGAGTTTGAATCCTAGCTGTTGTTGCTCAACCAAAAGTTCACAAAGCTTAACTCGTTTCAGATCACTTCAATTTTTTTTTCACTGCAAATCAGATTTGATATTTCAATTTCTTTTTAAAGATTTTGCAAACACACATTTCCATGTTTGAAAGAACAAACTTAACATCCTGGAATCTGAGACTTAACCTAAAAACTAAAACCCTCCCTTCACCTGCCCATGTACAGCTACTGTTCTCCACTGCTGTATGCCTGGGTTTGCCCGACTGGAAGCTGTCAGCATCAAGCTTCATTTCTTCCCATTCAGTGAGTAAAATATTTTTCCAATTGCTTTTACGATTTAGACACATATTACATCTTCAATTAATACAAAATAAAATCATTAAGTTTATTTATCTGCATCTTCTCTCCTCTGCAGAAGTGTTAAGTTTGAGAAGGATATAATGAAAAAAGAAAGACAATAGACATTCCAATAGGTCTTAATTCATTTAATTACCACAGTAAGTGTGTATACTTGTACATGTACATGTAGATTACTGACTATCATCAAGCTCCTTGCGATAATTCACTGTGTATGGTTCAGTTTGTGATAAGTATACCATAATGAACATTATATAATTTTTTAAGAGCTATACATGTGGATGGAACAAATCTAGACTAGTCTTTTTCCTACCGGGTAACTCATCTTGAATGTAGGAACTAATTATGATAAAACTAAGTAACATTACATGTACATTGTATAAAGATGTTTCTGAAAACTTACTGATGCACTGTAAGGAGGAACATTATTGTAATTGATGAGGTAATGTTATTAAGTTGTGGTGCTCAGCCCTGCCTATCCATCTATTTTTTGTGAACGTTGTTGGATGTCACCAAGAAATTGGAATGTCTTACTCGAGTATGATGATGAAATAAAAACACAAAAAGGGTCTTTCATAAAAAGACTAACATAAAGTACAATGTAGAAAGATTTAATTTAGATGTACACATAGATACAATTGTATATGTACAAAGTATCCCTACAATACAACCCAATACAATACACAGTTCAATACAACCTATCCTAATCACCACTGGTAAACTCTAACTAGTATGTGAATCACAATGATTATTGTGGTGCACTACATGCACAGTCATATAGGTTTATCTGTGCAAGCATCTTGAAGTTAACACTGTAGAAAGTGCAAGACTAAGAAGTGGCATGCTAAGACATACTGTCTCTCCTGAAATCTTGTCATTACATGCAAAGGTATTAGCTGGTGTGTTACGCCGAAGGGCAGTTACCCGGTATACCGGCTATACCGATACAGATACAGAAAGGTATAGTGTTGAGCCACATGCACTTAGGTGTTTCAAACTGGGCTCTGTACTTGGACTAAGGGGGTGATGCCTTCTTACCCTTTGACTTTGGACTTAGCAGTGTTCTACAGCCACTGTGGTGGTTCTGAGTGGTTTTTGTGTGCCATAATGGCTTGATACAGTGCCCTGTATGTTTTTCATAAGAGAAGAGGTCAGGGTCAGACAAACTATAACAAGATACATATTACATGAGTGTTACATGCCTCACAGGCAAGTCAAATTAAGATGTCACGCTCAAAGACTTCACTTTCCTGTACATTTAACCAAAGCACCAGAGTGAAAAGTTCTATAACTATTCATGTAATATATATAGTTTTGCTAAATATAATCCTGTCACTTATTTTTGTCCAGTCTATAAAGCTTCTATAGTAAATAATTCTGCTGAATATAAACTTCTTACATCTGCTTTTACCCCCCAGGATCAGGAAAAAGCAGACATCCCATGAATGTCGCCAGTCTCTCTTTCTCTACCTTTGTATTTCTAGTTTGTTAGTTTGTAGTTAGACATACGAATATCACAGAACTTTCTGTCAAGTCTATAAAGCTTCTATAATATATATTTCTGCTAACTATAATCTGGTTACCAGTACTTTTACCCCCCCAAGATCAGGAAACAGCAGACATCCCGTGAACTTCATCAGTCTCTCTTTCTCTAACTCATGTAATTTGTATTTTGTTTGTTTGTAGTTTATCACACAAAAGTCACTTCTTTTTGTCCAGTCTATAAAGCCTCTAAGATATAACGTTATATTTCTGCTAAATACAATCTGGTTATAACCAGTTCTTTTACCCCCCAAGATCGGGAAAGAGCAGACATCCCGTGAACCTATAAAGCTTCTATAATATTATATTTCTGCTAAATACAGAGTGCTTTTTATCCCCCAAGATCAGGAAACAGCAGACATCCCGTGAACATCACCAGTCTCTCCTTCTCTACTCACATATTTCTATTTTGTTAGTTTGTAGTTAGCCATACAAATATCACAGAACTTTTTGTCAAGTCTATAAAGCTTCTATAATATATATTTCTGCTAGATACAATCTGGGTTTAACCAGTACTTTTACCCCCCAAGATCAGGAAAAAGCAGACATCCCGTGAACCTGTAATTTGTATTTCTATATTAGTTTGTAGCTTACCATACAAAAGTCGCTCATTTTTGTTGAGTCTATAAAGCTTCTATGATATATATTTCTGCTAAGTATAATCTGGCTACTAGTACTTTTACCCCGCAAGATCGGCAAAGAGCAGATATCCAGACTGAGTAGAAATTTGTATTTCTATATTCATGTTAGTTTAATACCATACAAAAGTCGAAGGTCGCTCATTTTTGTTGAGTCTATAAAGCTTCTATAATATATATTTCTGCTAAATACAGAGTGCTTTTTACCCCCCAAGATCGGGAAACAGCAGACATCCCGTAAACGTTGCCAGTCTCTCCTTCTCCTCGATGGCTCCCCGGTGAACTTTGACCCACACCAGGTCCTTGTCGTCCAGGTGGATGATGGCCGTGTTGGTTGCCATGGAGACGCCGGGGTTCGGGCCCGTCGCTATGGCAACCACCTGCTTCTGGAGGTTCCTCATGAGGTGGACCTCGAGGAGGTCCTCCTTGTGGTGCTTGGGTACGCTGAAGGTGAAGGAGTAGGTGCCGTTCATGGGGGCGATGAAGACGCTGTTCCTGGTGTGATAGTGCCCGCCGCTGTTCACCAGCACGTGGCTGAAGCTCGTCGTGGCCTGGCTGTTGCGTCGCCGTCCTCCTGCGTTGTACCTCGCGTCCTTGTACGTGTTGGTCGCGGAGAACACGATCTTGAGCGGCCCCGGGGCGGGCGGGTGCACGTAGCGGATCATGGGGTGGTACGGGGCGGGGTCACCCGGTTGCCCGCGTGGGCCTCGGTAACCCTGCTCCCCCTTCTGTCCCTTGTCGCCGACATCTCCTTTCTTTCCTTCCCCTACCGGGCCTTGCAGGCCCCTGTCTCCTTGAGGCCCATGAGGACCCTCGGCCCCTTTTTCCCCCTTGGGTCCGTACAAGCCCTTACCAGGCATCCCAGTGAGCCCCCTCTCCCCAGGGGGGCCCTGGGGCCCCGCTTTCCCTGGTCGCCCGGCTGCACCCTTCTCTCCTTTGTCCGTTTCAGGGACTTTGTTTGGGCTGTTGGGGTAGTCTGACAGGTAAATGTTGCCATTTTCCGCGCCCATGCCGCACACAATCCGACATGAACCCGTCATAAGCTTGGAGCTGACGAAAGACGCGTGTAGACTGCACGTGACGACAAGCAAAACTGATATCGCAATTCTCCTCATGGTTGGTATACGCGTAATGTCTAATTTAAACATAGTCATCGTAAGTTTGTAGGCTTCTCCTTGCTGTTATTGCTGTCTTTCAAATAACTTTAGTCTGTGATACATAACTTAAGATATGTACTATTCAGTGCACGCAGCTTTGCAGTTGTCACTCTTCCAGAATCAAAAGGAAGTGGCTTCCTCCTGGCATTTGTGCTCACCCCGAAAATATAACTTTCTCTAATCCAGGCTTTGCCGGCAGCATGCTCGGCAGGATGGAACTCCTGCTGGGATTTGATGCCTGCTTCTTCTTGTTGTAGGTTTGCTAAGCTCTCCTCAAAGAGCAGCAAAGGTTTCTTAAGCGAGGTGTCTTAAGGTTGATGATGTGTCTTTCTGCTGTGTCTTTTCTCTCGCAGATTTTTCTTAATCCAAGCTTCTTCAGTGTGTTAAGGAGGATGTCACCCCTGCTGTCTGTCTTCTCTCTATCTCTGTCTTCTGGAAGAAGCTCTGATTGTTGACCAACCTCCTGGAAAAACAGAACCAGGGACATGAGATGTCATGGGAGATATAGACCATGAATGGACAACAGAAACGCAGGAATGACGGAAGAAACGTTGGACATTTTTTACGCTTCATGGAGCTAGACCTCACACTACTGTAGTCTCCTTAGCATCTGACCCATTTGTTCTCAGTAAACCTCGGGTATACATGGACTGTAAGTTGCTCTAAGGCAATTAGTGAAGAACATACATGTACATGTGTCCCCTACATTAATCACACAAGGCATACCAACCTCAGACATGTAGCAAAGCAAACAAACAATTGTCAGTTCCTTTCTCCAGCCCCAATATTGCCAAATCTTGTTTAACCAACATTCAGAGTGAAACAAAGCTATCGCCTTGGCCCCTTCCCAAACATCGGCAGATCACTTGGTAAAAGAGAGGATTACTTTTTGCTATTTGATACGTCTGCAGTACCATATAGAGCGCAAGTAGAATGTGTTCCATGGAAGTCGACCAGTCAAAGTTGATAACGTTGGCAGATAAGAATATTTGAAGACTGTGAACAGGGCAGACTAGTGCGGCGATCTTGGCACAGCACAAAAAGGACTTGGAGTTGGACTTGGGTCTGTCGTGTTTTTGTCTACGAATGATACGATATCCTATTCATACATGTTTATTGAGCTTAAGATTTCATGGACATAAGAACTACCTTGTTGATGTAATAAGAACGTGAGACGTTTATGTTTACTTTTTGTTTGGAGTGTCAACACTCATTACAATATTTTGTGTTTATTTACTCTACGGTGAGTATGTCAGTTGGTTTAATTTATGACACACCTTGCTTGCAGGGCAAACTTGATCTAATACAAGTACTGTAACACTGTTTTTTGTAATCATCATGGGGAGACATGTAGCCAGGATGGCTCTATTTCAAATTTCAACAGTCAAGTATGCAAAACATATTGCTCAAGCTTAGCCAAAGTCCACTTTCGGGCAAGTGTACGTGCCTCAAGTACTGTAATTGTAAACTTAAATCACAAAACTTTCAGGGTGGTTCTGTATTGAAGCAGGCTATGAGGAAAATGGAGTTTTTTTGCGGTGTTTAGAATTTACAGTTGAAACAATTTTGTTAAGTACAGTACTAGTCAAAATCTGAAGGAAGGAAGTCAATATTTGTGGTGTCATGAATTAAATTTGTGGTGCCATGGAAAAAAATACTGATGAGAAGTAAAACACTGCAAAAGTTTAACAAAGAATTACTAACAGTTACATGTACGTGCTCTAAGCTTGCAACTTCTTAAGTCATTAACAAGCATACCTTGACCGTGATACTTTTTCCTCCCACTGAGAAGCCTGTAAGCTTTCTGTTTGATGTTGAACTGACTGAGGACACACTAACAATGCTCCATGATTAACCATGCTAAACACAAGCTTAGCCTTTAACTTAGCACGGACTCTTTGATGTTTTCATAAATTTCACAGTCGCAGCACAGTTAAATTTCCTGTGAAGTGCAATGAAGTTAAAAGTATGCATTGAACTGTATAACTGTATAAATTCAAGATAATACATTTATTTAAATGACTACAATGTATATGATTCAAATTGAGTTCAAAGATAGATACTCGGTTCTCATGGGTGCAGATTCAAAATCTGGTCGGGATTTGCTAACAATTTTGACCGAGAAATTTTATTGCCAGCCTGAAGAGTTTGTCCGAATTCCATGCCAGAAGACTCGGTCAGAAGTTATCATGAAAGAAAAGTCTTCTCTAGTTGTAGAGGATAAGAAATTGTCAACCTTTTTTACAAAACAACATTATGTTCAGCAACGTTTAGTAATCACAATGTCTTGAACTTTGTCCCTACTTTAAACAGGCAAGCAACTGGATCTGTCTAGGTCAAATCCTAAGTTGTCATAGAGTTAATCTTGCATGTAGGATCTCCTTGCCATTAGACCTAACACTTGGCAGCAGAAATTGAGCGGAACATGGTACACATTTATCAACTGTACGTCATTCAAAACATTTCCGAATACCTGTAATTAAGAGTAATTAATTACTAAAGAGGGATAGGAAGAAATGCGCAGTTACTTACCTACAAAGATGACCAGGTGTTTGGAAGTGATAGCAGACAGTTCAGTCTCTAGGCTGTCAGAAGGAAGAATAATGCTGTTGGTCACACCCCAGAAACATGGTACAGGTTAGGGAAGGTAACATTTCTCTTGTGGGGGTGGACAGGTTGGGGTCAATGAGGGTCAAAGATTGAAAAACAGATCTATTACTGTGCCAAGTTACAAGTGTTTGATGTTTCCTTCAAGTGAAATTTGGTCTTGATCAAAACCTGTATATTAAGACATTTGACTTGATCTTTTCTGTCTAGTCATATTCTGTCTGGCTTTGAACTGAATATTTTCATTTGTATGTCTTCTTAATATTATGCACTCAATCTCAAGTTGAAATGACATATTTGTCCACAAATTCTTTTCTCAAACTAAAGAACTTTACATATCTAGATGTCAATAGACTATTTTCTCTCAGCATATCACTATTTACATTGTACTTAAGGCATGTATAAGAATTAGCATACTAATACTGTAGATTATATGCTACGACCCAATACATTTCTTCAAGTTCATACTTTGTTATTTTTGATAGAGGCCAACAATATCATGCCAAAGACAAATATATCGCTATGTCACAGTGTTTGTTCTGATATCCCAGGGAAACCCTTTGTAACCATATATCTGAGGCAATGTCTGCGGATGGCAAAAGTCAGATAATTTGGCAAGCCGCACACTTGGCATACAGCCTAACATGATCCTATTTGTAGACCGACAAGCGGTGATGCCTACATGTCATCTCGCCATACCATGGGTGCACAAAGAAGCTCCTTCAGAACGACTTTGTTACGTTTAAAAAAACGAGATGAAGTAAATGAATAGAAGATACCAAGATCACAACTTCTTAGTACCGTAGATACCTAGAGCTCTCTCTCCTTGCCTTTTTCCATATATTAAACAAGGGGACTTCTGCATGACAAGGAGGGATAATTTGGGAGTTAGAACCACACTCTTAGCTTTACAATGATAAAGCCAAAGTGTAGACTGTAGAGAGAGAATTAAAGAGAAGATGCTGGAAGATCTTGAGGCCTGAAGCTGAGGGAACCTACAGAGATCTCTCTGTCCTTGTGCCATATATTAAAGGGACCTGTGCAAGGGGAGGAGGGATATTTTGGAAAAAGGGATTTCTTTAGAACCACTCTGACTCTTACTAGTCTTACCTTTTTGCTGTAGAGAGAGAAAGAAGATGTTGGAAGATCTTGATGAGGGCTGAAGCTGAGGAATCTCTCGCTGTCCCTGTTCCATATAAGGGACCTGTGCAATGGCAAGAGGGGTTTTGGAAGTGGGTCAGTCTGGGAATGGTTCAAATTATGGGATCAGCCTGAAGCCAGACTAGTACTGTAATTACCTTCGCCAAGAAGGTTATGTTTTCAGAGGCGTTCGTGTATGTGTGTGTGTGTCTGTCTGTCTGTCTGTCAACACGATAACTTGAGAAGGCCTTGATGGATTGTCTTGATACTTGGTAGGTGGGTAGGTCTTGATGAGACCTCAAAATGATTAGATTTTGGACCCCCTAGCGGCTTGTTATGGTACTGCAGCTGAACTTCCGGTTTTGATATCTCATGATCTAGACATGTTATGGTGATGAAATTTGGGTGGTAGGTAGCTCTTGTGCTGGGGAAGAAGTGACGTGAGTTTGGGCCCCCTAGTGGCTTGCTCTGGAACTGCAGGGTTATATTCTTGAAAATATTCAAAAGAGGATAACTCAATAACCGGTTGACGGATCGTCGTGATTTTTGGTATGTAGGTAGCTTACGTGATGCTTAATATAATTATGTGACAATTATGCAAATATGGATGTAATTTGCATAATTTATGGGGAAATTCTATAAATCAGCTGCATTCCATAATAAGACAATTGAAGCTTGTGACATTGGTAATTGACAACGAGAGAAACACAGGCAGATATTGATTATGTTAATAATGACTTAATTTGCATAATTAATGAGAAAATTTTATAAGTATGTAATGATAACTGCCTGTAATTTCATACTTATGGTATTTGAAAGTTAAGTTGAGGTGAACATCATTAAACATAATTTATTCAAATCAGGACCTCATTTGCATAATTTATTAGGAAATACTAGAATGCCTTGTTTGTTTATATAAGACTGTCTTTTGGTTGAGATTATGATAAAATGATATAATTCATGAAAATTAGGTTCCTATTTCTTAAATCAGGGGGGAATAATCTAATCTATAATTTGTCAGTCATTTGGCGAAGGTATGAGATCGGGGAACTCTAGTTCCTGATTTTTTCACTGTACTGTCATGTTTACCGTTTTCACTGTCACTTCTGTACCGTGAACTTATCATTACAGCTAACAAATAATTCCTGGACCTCCTTTTTCCTGCACCTGTCACCACTGTGAGTATATATAGTTCTGCGAACAT